TGAGGAGTGTGGAGTGTAAAGTGTAGAGTGTGGAGTGTGCAGTGTGCAGTGTAGAGTTTAAAGTGTAGAGTGTAAAGTGTAGAGTGTGGAGTGTAGAGTGTAAAGTGTGGAGTGTAAAGTGTGGAGTGAGGAGTGTAAAGTGGAAAGCGGGGAGTGTAAAGTGTAAATTGTGGCGTGTAGAGTGCACAGTGTAGAGTTTAAAGTGTAGAGTGTAAAGTGTAGAGTGTGGAGTGTGGAGTGTAAAGTGTGGCGTGTGGAGTGTAAAGTGTGGAGTGAGGAGTGTAAAGTGTAAAGTGTGGAGTTTAAAGTGTAGAGTGTGATGTGAGGAGTGTAGAGTGTAAAGTGTGGAGTGTGGAGTGTAAAGTGTAGAGTGTGGAGTGGAAAGTGTGGAGTGTGGAGTGTAGAATGTAAAGTGTAGTGTGGAGTGTGGAGTGTAGAGTGTGGAGTGTGGAGTGTGCAGTGTGCAGTGGGTAAAGTGTGGAGTGCGGCAGGTGGTGGTCATCTCGATGTGCGGGTGATGTTGCTGTGCTAGTGATGCTGTTGTGCTGGTGATTTCGTTGTGCTGGTGATTTCGTTGTGCTAGTGATTTAGTTTGTGCTGGTGATTTTGTTGCGCTGGTCGACTTTGTGCAAACCTTGTAGTACACAGTAGTACTGGGAAGTAGTTTGTGCAAACTTTGTGTAAAGTAAGGAGTGTGGAGTGTAAAGTGTGGAGTGGGGAGTGTAGAGTGTGTAAAGTGTAGAGTGTGGAGTGTGGAGTGTAGAGTGTAAAGTGTAGAGTGTAAAGTGTAGAGTGTGGAGTGTGGAGTGCAAAGTGTAGAGTGTGGAGTGTGAAGTGGAAAGTGCAGAGTGTGGCGTGTGGAGCGCGGAGTGTAAATTAAGGAGTGTGGAGTGTAAAGTGTGGCGTGTGGAGTGTAAAGTGTGTTTGAGTGAGGAGTGTGGAATTTGGAGTGTAAAGTGTAGAGTATGGAGTGTGGAGTGAGGAGTGTAGTGCGTGGAGTGTGGAGTGTGGAGTGAGGAGTGAGGAGTGAGGAGTGTGCAGCGGGTAAAGTGTGGAGTGTAGAGTGTGGAGTGTGGAGAGAGTGTAGAGTGTGGAGTGTAAAGTGTGTATATAGTGTAAAGTGTGGAGTGAGGAGTGTAAAGTGGAAAGCGTGGAGTGTAAAGTGTGTAAAGTGTGGAGTGTAGTTTGTGAAGTGTGGCGTGTGGAGTGTAAAGTGTGGCGTGAGGAGTGTAAAGTGCACAGTGTAAAGTGTGGAGTGTAAAGTGTTGAGTGTGGAGTGTAAAGTGTAAAGTGTGGAGTGCGGAGTGTAAAGTGTAGAGTGTGGAGTGGAAAGTGTCGAGTGTGGAGTGTGGAGTGTAGAGTGTAAAGTATAGAGTGTGGAGTGTAAAGTGTGGAGTGTAAAGTGTGGCGTGTGGAGTGTAGTGTGTGGTGGAGTGAGGAATGTGGTGTGTGTAGAGTGTAGAGTGTGGTGGAGTGTGGTGGAGTGTGGAGAGTTTCAGTGTGGAGTGTGGAGCGTAGTGTGTCGAGTGAGGAGTGAGGAGTGTGGAGTGTAAAGTGTGGAGTGTGCAGTGGGTCAAGTGTGGAGTGTGCAGTGTAGAGTGTGGAGTGTGGAGTGTGGAGTGTAGTGTGTGGAGTGTGGAGTGTAAAGTTTGGAGTGTAAAGTGTGGAGTGTAAAGTGTGGAGTGAGGAGTGTAAAGTGGATTGCGTGGAGTGTAAAGTGTAAAGTGTGGAGTTTAGAGTGTAAAGTGTAGAGTGTAAAGTGTAGAGTGTGGAGTGTAAAGTGTGGAGTGAGGAGTGTAAAGTCCAAAGTGTAAAGCGTAAAGTGTGGAGTTTAAAGTGTAGCGTGTGGAGTGAGGAGTGTAAAGTGTAAAGTGTGGAGTGTGGAGTGTAAAGTGTAGAGTGTGGAGTGTGGAGTGGAAAGTGTCGAGTGTGGAGTGTAGAGTGTAAAGTGTAAAGTGTAGAGTCTGAAGTGTGGAGTGTAAAGTGTAGAGTGTGGTGTGTGCAGTGGGTGAAGTGTGGAGTGTGGCAGGTGGTGGTGATCTCGTTGTGCTGGTGATTTTGTTATGCTAGTGATTTCGTTTGTGCTGGTGATTTCGTTGTGCTAGTGATTTCGTTTGTGCTGGTGATTTTTTTGCGCTGGTGCTGTTCGCTGGTGATTTCGTTGTGCTGGTGCTTTCGTTGAGCTGGTGATGTTGTTGTGCTGGTGTTATCGTTGCGCTGGTGATTTCGTTGTACTGTTGATTTCGTTGTGCTGGTGATGTTGTTGCGCTGGTGCTGTTCGCTGGTGATTTCGTTGTGCTGGTGCTTTCGTTGCGCTGGTGATGTTGTTGTGCTGGTGATTTTGTTGCGCTGGTGATTTCATTGCGCTGGTGATTTCGTAGTGATTTCATTGCGCTGGTGATGTTGTTGTGCTGGTGGTGATTTCGTTGTGCTGGTGGTGATGTTGTTGTGCTGGTTAGTTGTCTCTTCGTGAACTGTTGATCAGGTGCCTTCGGTGAGACGATATGCGTGCACGATGCATAAAAAAAGTTTCGTTTTCCTATTGCAGAGGTTTTCACTCGTAGTCCAAGAACGTGCATACATTCGGGTTCGTGGCTTCCCTCTTGCTTAAAATAATTAAGCCATGTTCAAACAACCGATTCAATAAATAAATATACCCACAATGCTAATACATCTTGGTCGTCTTTGTCATTCTTTGTCCACGTGAAACCCCAAAGCTAGGATTTCAATCTATTGTTCCTCCTCATTTTAAGCATTCCGCAAAGACATAAGATATTCCAATCTCTGTAAAATGTCAATTCCCTACATCCACCATGGCTTGTGAGGGGTGCTTAATATGAAAGCACCACCCAAAAAGATAGAAGAGTGAGATATCTGGAAATACGGGGTAGTCATATAAAGTAAATATTATCTACAACATCCTGGTGTTCCTACTTTTCGGCATCTAGGGGTTATAGGGGGATGGGATTCTTCCCTCCGTCGCTTTCCACCTTGGACATGCCCAGGCCACCATGTGAGCTGCCTAGCAATGGAGGATTCAACCGCCCAACTGCTGATTGAAGCATCGAAAATTCGGGATTTCACCCTCCGACTTAGGCGATTTGTTCCACTGATTTAAGTAACAAACACAGAGATTCAACCAACCAACTTGGGGATTATGATTTAACGGTCAAACATGTGGAGGTTACAAGCCAGCATGGGGATTTAATGATCATATTGTGGGCATCAACGAGTGGACCATGGACATGGGCTTAGGCTTCACACAAAAATGGCGCATACCTACTGAAAAACCACTGGACTCCGGGGTTCTGACAAACTCAAATGATCTTTTCTAAGCACGTTTGTTTACTCAAAATGCAGAATGAGCGTTCACCAACAACCATGGCTGCTCTGATGTTCACTGGCAGCCGGACAGCTCCACCATTTTCGGGGCCACTGTGTGCTGATTTGCCAATGTTGGGTACAGCTGAGGCGAAAACATGGGTATAATCATGGAAATGAAACCCCCATAGTTATATTTCATAATTATATCCATAGTTAAGCATGGTTATACAATGTTATGCATCCGTTATGCCATATTATTGGGTTTGTTGGGATCTAACTAACCGCAGGACTATGGGGTGACAACCCGAAGTCGAACTCCTCACTGCTGCTCAAATCCGGCCGAGAAGACCAAACTCTCACCAGTTTTAGCCCAGTGCATATAGTAATCCCCCAAAAAGATTTTAAACAAATACCGTTTCAAATACCCAGCAAAATCCTACTCAAACAGCGATAAATCATGATAAATCACTATTCGATCTTTTTGGGGGCTCTCTACTAATTAATAATTTTGATCCACACCTCATCATGGCTTGTAGCAAAGTTTTTCATCTCACGCGACACTCCGCGCGGCGCGTCGAACTAATGTGACACTTTGGCCACCGGATCACCAAACGAACCTGTCAGCTGTGGCACAACCCATTGAGAGCACTACCGAGTTGAATACCCAATCGTGACGCAATCAACAGAAATTCATCATTGAAGGCCCAAATCAGCGCAGATTCTGTGCCTTTTTAGTATTCACAATGCAATGAAACAGGGGTCTCTAGCTCCTTGAAGCTTCAAAAAATGAGCGACAACACCAAGCCAACCCTCCGATGTCAACCAGCCGAAAAAAGGAACAAACACAAAGCAGTAGAAGGAAGAGGTATATCAAGAAGTGTGGATAGATACCACCCATATTTCTCCATATTCTGGGTTTTGGTCATGTGTAAACATCAAAATGGAGTTCCCGACCAAAGAACGGGAGTTTGATCGGTGTGCAAGAGCACTGCGCCCTCTGGTATCACATGCTGCATCTTTCATTGGCAAGAAACATCATTCATCTGCAGCATTTCTGCTTGACATTCGAAGCCAAACATGGATTGAGTTCCACAAACAACCTGGATTTTGTTTTCGCCCCCCCAGGAAATCAAGAAATGTTCCCTATAGATTCTCCAAATAGTGGAGTTCCCGTTGGGAAAATAACATCATCTTCAGTATCTTCAGCAAATCCAGAAAATAGAGGACCCCAATGCTTGATGGTTAAACTGGCCATATAAACCCAATGCCAGACTTTTTAGACACACCCCAATACCCTATATTTTTTTGGCGTATACCCAATACATAGACCCATTTTACATACTCCGATTACACATAGTCAGATAGTAACATTCTACATATAGGGTACATTATTTATACATATTTATAATGTGGTAAACCCAATAATAAACTATCCGCAAGTCATCACCATAAACGGGTGGTATAACCCATCCCCAGTCATGGTACGTTTATTCTTGGGCTTACCACATTGTCCCATAATCACCAAAAAATGGTAGGTTAAACCATGATCAACCACGATATTCACATTATGTCAATGTACCTAATTATATCCCCCAAAATGTACCAGTATATCCGAAAACGTACTGATATATCACTTCTTTTCGGTTAAATCCACTGTTTTTGGCGAAGTCTCCGCCTCAGTGCGTCCCTTCTGCACTGGGCGCTGGCTGACGCAGCCTGGGTGAAGTGGGTGAAGCGCCATCCCCTGGGTAAATCTGATTCCTTAGTACTTGATCATTATATCAATTATATCATTAATCATTATTAACATGATTAGTTTAATATATGCTATTAATGATATAATGATTATTACATTATTAATTAATGATATAATGGGTAATAAACATTAACATACCGTCCACATCATTATTACTTAGTAAGTTTAAAAATAAGCTTGGTATGATCTATGTATATGTAAAAATACATGATATTTTACCATATTGGTTGCCACTGGTTGCTTGGCAAACGGGATGGATGCTTGAAGAGATGTAGACCCGCGCCATGTACATCTCATCTGGAGTCCGCATTCAAAACCCAGGTCCATGAACCTTAATTAATGCAATTTAATGTGTACTAAATGTGATCAATGGATGTTCATCCATCTTAATGATCATATATACCAGTAGTACCGCACAAGGCGGTGGCGGAAGTTTCAAAAATAGGAAACCTATAGGAGAGGTTGGTTGTTGTGAATCACGGATGGCAGAGCGAAGCCACTGATGGACTGAAAGGTGATTGATCTCTCTCACTCTTTCTCTCTCTCTTTTTCTCTCTTTCTATGATTATCTATCTACCTACCTACCTACCAACCAATCTATCGATCTATCTATCCATCTATCTATCTATCCATCTATCTATCTATCCATGTATCCATCTATCCATCTATTCATCTATCCATCTATCCCGCTATCCATCTATCCACCTATCCATCTATCCATCTAATCTATCTATCTATCTATCTATCTATCTGTCTGTCTGTCTGTCTGTCTAATCTATCTAATCTATCTAATCTATCTAAATTCTATCTATATTCTATCTATATTCATCTATATTCTATCTATATTCTATCTATATTCTATCTATATTCTATCTATATTCTATCTATATTCTATCTATATTCTATCTATATTCTATCTATATTCTATCTATATTCTATCTATATTCTATCTATATTCTATCTATCTATCTATCTAACTATCTATCTATCTATCTATCTATCTATCTATCTATCTATCTATCTATCTATCTAATCTATCTATCTGTCTACTCTTCTACCTATCTACCTATGGACCTATCTACCTATCTACCTATCTACCTATCTACCTATCTACCTACCTACCTACCTACCTATCTACCTACCTACCTGTATACCTACCTACCTACCTACCTATCTATCTATCTATCTCATCTGTCTATCTAACATTATCTAACTGGGTATCTAGCTATCTACCCATCTACCTATCTGTCTATCTATCTGTCTCTCTGTCTATCTATCTACCTGTCTATCTGCCAGCTTGAAAACCAAGCTGTTCTGCGAGACTTCCTCATTGTTCGAAGTTGACAACATCAAAAACGCAGCAATTCTGCGAGACTTCTTCATTTTTGAACTTAACAACATCCAAAACGAAGCAATTCTGCGAGATTTATTAAATTTTTGAATTTGACAATGCTCCAAAATGCAACCCCTCTCCTGACCTCCTAACATCTCTGATGAACATGTCTTTTGTACTGCGCCTGCCACGCAAAATGCATCTTTGCAGATCCTCTTCAAATGTCCCACGCCTGCCATCGTTTTTGGAAATGCTACAAAACTTTTGCTCACTTTTGAGAAGGTGCACAATCCCTTGCGCCTGCCACGCGAAACGACATCTGAACGTCCAAAAGTGGTCCGAACCCCTGGTGGTTTTTTGTACATTTTGACTTCGAAATGTGCTTCGCGCCACAACGACGTGCACTTTTTCGACATCGCAACTTCTAAAAGTGGTCCGAAGCTGGTGTGTTTTATACATTTTGACTTCGGAATGTGCTTTGCGCCACAACCGCGTGCACTTTTTCGACATCTCAACTTCCAAAAGTGGTCCGAGAATGGTGTGTTTTGCACATTTTGACTTCGAAATGTGCTTCGCGCCACAACGGCGTGCAATTTTTCATCTCTCATCTGGCCAGATTAGCGAGCCTACTTTTCGACCCTCCGGAGCCACAAATCCTTGGAAAAACACAGTGTTTCGCGACTTTCCTACCTTTTCGCACATCTGCATCTTCTTTCTTCTGACTCTTTCTCTTCTCTGATCTTCTCTCTTCTACTCTTCTCTTCTCTCTGACTCTTCCCATCTCTGCTTTTCATCTGTCCATATTGTCGGAAGTTTGACTTCTAAACTTCCTTCGATCATTATATATTTATTTATTTTATTTATATACATAATCATCATAAGTGTTGGATACGCATGTTATCAATTAATGCTCATCAATGTCAATGCATGTCAATCAGTTATAGCAGGTGTTGGTATATGTTGGTTACTGTCAATCATATCTACATCTACAATTGCAAACCTCATGAAACTTGGCTGTTCATATACGGCGACTCCCTTATCAATGCTGATCTCGGCCAGTGGCTGTCGAGCCAACTGACGAAGATAAAACACGTCCTTTTGTAAGGCCTCATTGATCCTGCGCCACAAGGGAAGTGAAGGAACTGGAAAGCTGGAAAGCTTCGAGGGAATTCAGACGAGGTCCATGTGGGTTTGTCTGAATGGAAAAACCTCTTAGATAAACCCAATTGGAAGATCTATCATCTAATCAGTGGGTTTATCCCCATCATTCCCCATCTATCATAGTCATGTGGCTTTGTCTATGGAAAAACCTCATCATATCTCATCATTTTTCGTGGTCGGGCCTTCAAGTTTGGCCCATACTGAACGACATACGTTGGTCATTTTGGCTAACTGGAACTTTCTTTTGTAGCTTATAGTAGACAACTGGAATGACATCTTATAACTGTTGGTAAAGCAATGTCATAGAATCCCACCCATATATCCATGACATCTATCTGTTGATAACTCATGGATTGCTTGGAATCCCACCCACAACGGAAGGGTCATTGGGGATGACGGATCCGCCTGCGATGCTCCCACGCCGCCACGGATGGCAACCATGGGTAGAAGGTTGTTGCCTGCCGGCAAGGACACAAAACGCCAAAAAAATGCGAGGTCATTGGACATATTGTTGGGATTTACTTGATTTAGTAGGAAATTAATGGCTATTCCAAGTTGCTCCCAACACCCCAGGTATGTTTGGGGGATGAATTTGCCAAATAAAAAGGTAACATCATCGTTTATACCACTTGTGGCAATCATTTTCCCCAAATATGTTGGAGAACCCCTCTGAATAGCTATCCTCACTGGAGGGGTATCATTGGGTTTGCCATGTTGCCAAAATGTCGTTGTCAGCCTATCAATCCGCAAACTCATCCAAATCAGGATAATACTATAAATATTCAACAACAGCATATGTACTGCACCATGGTCAAACCATGATATATATAGTTTATGTGTTTTTTTGTCATCTATCCCATATTGGGAGTCCTTATAATGGCTATATAAAGCAGTATGGATTGATGACATTGATGACCATCCCCAAATATGGGAAAACAATCTGTGTGTCGACCATGGCACATGTGGGCGGTCAACTTGGGTCAACGTTCAATTTTCGGGTTCCGAACTCATGGTCTCTCATGGTTTCAACGTAAGCACTTTCTAGATGTGCCAAGATGAGCACTTTTTCCCGAAACTGGAACACATCCTTAAAACATCTGCCTTGCCAGGATCACTAAAGCACTTTCAGCCCCCGTTATCACTTATTGTTCAACACAGTTCATCAGTTAACCCTGCTTTATGTCAATTCATTCATCAATCACCATGTTCGTAGCTAAACATAAACGCTCAGAAACCAATCATCATCATGATCATTGGACACTCCAATGTCTAGACTCGAAGTCAAAAAAATACACATTCATCAGCAGGATCATTGGATATGACTTTGGTTAAACTATGAATGTTCAGACCACCGGAATGTTGCATATTTAGAAGTCAAAAAAACAAACTTTCACCTGGATAATCAGAAAACACCTGCAGAATGTTTCAAACCACCAATTTCTTTAATGGAATAATATATTCCAATTGGACATACTGTGACCCCAGAAACATGGGTTCAATATGGATTCTATGGTTAATATTCCCCCAAAATGGTTGATTTATAGGGGTAATGCCCCAACCTACCCTTTTAGCCGCCTGCAGGATATTCAGTACCTTGGGCCGGACCACCGTCCAGCGGTATCGCAAGTCCTGAGACCATGGTCACCAAGTGCTGACTTTTCACCAAGAAGAATAGATTTTAAAAAATAGTACCCTCTGATACCCTTTGGTGATTTAACATTGCTATGGAAAATGAATGAAAATGACCCATTTATAGATGATTTATGATGATTTACCCATTAAGAATGGTGTTTTCCATAGCTACATTAAATAACCAGAGGGTAACCCCCCAGAAAATATGCAGAAAAGTAAAATCCAGTCCTAAAATAGTGGCACATAAAATAGGACATGTTACTGCATATGTTTGCGGTCGCAACAATGGAGGTACAACATGGAAGTAACAAAAATAAACTTTGCACTGGCTATTCATTCCCAGATTCAGGTGGCATCTCCCTCTGCCATTTTTGTTGGAGCTAGAGCTACATAACAAATACCACGAATTCCTCTAGATTGTCTTCTCTAACCAACTTCCATAGTTTTCCATGATTCCAAGTTCCCAACGTTTCCACCCAAATGAAGGTCCCAGTCTGCCCCACAGCTGTTGCATGGGGACATGCAGTGAGTCCTCTGCTTCGTCATGGATGAACTTTTCATGGTAGACCTGATGGGAGAGTCGATTTGTCCACATTAATCCTAAGGGTCGTAAAATCTGGGGACACTGGGGGGTTCAATGGGGTTTCAATCTGTTCCAGAACATTAGAACATCACTCGTCCATTTTTCCAGGAGTCTACACCCATCTTTTCGGAAACCCCAAGGTCGAGCACTTAGTCGTTGATCAGCAATTGGGATCCTAAAAATCCCCTATTTTCGACGATCAACCGGTGGACTTCAAAGGAAACCAACAAAAATTGGACCCACATCCCCAACATCGCAGCTGTTTTGCTGGTGATTTCAGAAGCCTTCAGCATTTTTTTTCGGGCAACGTCTGAGAGGAGCACTTCTTCGAAGGAGCTATCCACGGTCAAATACAATTCTTTCTGTGACCTCGGCCAAGATTCTGGATCAAGTTATTGAAATATAGTATTTCTCGTACACCAAGTTGGGTGAGGTGAAGTCCAGTGATTTTTCAGTTAATATCTCTAGGACTTGATCTGAACATCCGATAGTTACCCGGTAAACTAACATAGATGTGGAAAATCAACCATTTGTATCCATTTGTTGACTATTTTTCTGGGGAAATCATGGGTTTTCCACATCTATGTTAGTTTACCCTGGGGTAAACCTGTCACAAAGTGGTGCACCATGCTGTTTTCATCGCGAGGATCGAACTGTGTGTAGTAGTCCCAGAAGAATTTCAGCACCTGGACATGTGGATTTTGGACGTGTCTTGGAATAATCACAGCCCGATGTATGAAATACATTAGTTCTACCATCAGTTTTTGGACCCTTAAAATCAATAGATCCACTACTAAACCAGGGCTTCGTTTGGGGATTACCTACAAGGATGAAGGGATTCTGTATGACAAAGGGTTCTGCCCTTAGCCTGGCACGCAGTCCATCCATTGGTTCATCATCATATTCTCATGATGGATATAAATGGATATAATATATATATATATACATAATGTGGTAAATCATCCATAGTCAATCGTTAATCATCATATTCTCCTTATCTGGCCAGTTATTTTTTTTCATGGCCAGTATCCTCGCCATTTTCGCAAAATGGACTCGTCGCCTTCGGTTCTGGTAAACATCGCTTAGGGATGGTCCAATATAACGAAAAAGCTCCAAGGTCTCAGAAGCGGACTCCGCTGCAAAACAGGAAGTACAAAGCAATCACCTTAGCAGCTTTAGCATTCGGAATGCTTCCTTTATGTTCATTGAAAAATGTGGTTTCCAATGTGGCCCAGGTTCGGAAGTATCAGGAAGTTCATTGAAAATTCATTTCGGATCATGCCAAAGAATTTGTGTTGAATATAAGCATAGTTCATAATAGTTCAACATGAGACAACTGAGATAACCAACCAGTGGACGCTCACTTTGCCTATTGCACGACTCTAAGTCTCAGGCCGTGAAATAAACCCAGAAGCCAAAAGGCGGACTCCTCAGCCGCCACTCCAATTCCCCATTTCTCAACAGCTGGGGGGTGTTTAATGCTGGGATGGGATTTTGTACTGATTGCTAGACATTGCTGTTGTGGATTATCAGGGGATACAGTATGTTATATAAACCATGAAAAAAAAACAATAACCATAATAAAAACCCATAAACCATTATAGACCAATATAAACCATTATAAACCATTACAGTATTGGATTTTATATAAACCATTATAAACCCCAATCTACATCAATAAACCACGTAGTATAACTCCCTTCCACAAATCAACAGGAGGGATTAATGAAACGAACCGACCTTTTCCCAGAACCTCACAATGTTTGGAAAATAACCCCCCTAAGCTTCCCAATATTGGGGATTAAGAAAAAAAACAAGCGCGATATTGGGCCTAATATGTTTTTGTTGATAGACCAACCTCTTTTCCGATACCTTGCTTTATGATACCCCGCCACATGGGAATGTTGGGGAAATGGAAGTATCGAGCCATGTCTGAAAACATGGATATACCTTGATTTACCCTCTGGTAATTCAACGTAGCTGTGGGACATCACCATTTTTGAGAGGGAAATCATCAGAAATAATCTATCAATGGGCGATTTCCATAATTTTCCACAATTTCCATAACAAAATCAAAATGAGGACAACCAGAGGGTACCATGGCCATTGAAATGGCGAACCACTACTGAATTCCAAGCACTTCTGCAGGTCACTCTGAGTCCATGACTCGTCAGCCCCTGTAGGCAAGGAAGATATAAAATACCGGAAATGGGAAATCCTGTGAAAGTAGAGGGTATTACAGTACTATATATACATAACTTTCTGAATTGAACATCATAATTGAACCATTTTCTGCTAGGGACATGTTCATTGCCTGGCTTAGCCCCAGCCCTTCGCTGGCCTCGCACCCGGATTCCAGAGACCATCTCATGATGGGGGAAAAACACGAAGATCACGAAGTAAATTGTACTAAAGTCGACTACATAGTACTATAGACTATAGATATAGGTATATGTATAAATTAAAGTATAGTCGATATAGTACTATACATGTACTATAGTACTATTTTAACTTATATAGAATTATATAGTCTTGCAGTGTTTCCAGCTGTTGCTTCGCTAATTTCCTTATCTGTTGTTTTTTGTTTTATTTTCAATGTGACTTGGCTGCATTGGAGGTGGGTGGAACACTGCGCAAGCAGAATTCATACGTTTCACATCGAGCGCTGTCCAATATGGACACCAACCATAGCTCATGAAAGAAAGAAAGAAAGATAGAAAGATGGTCAATCTTTGATAGTCCACAAAATCATTGCCTCTGGTTATGACTATTTAAAATTTTTAATTATAGCAAAAGCATGCAAAAGCAAAAGGACTAAACTACCTGTCCAGTTGGTTGGGGATGATGAATATAAAACTAGGTTCTAGTCTGTTTGAAAAAGAGAAACCAACGTGTCCTTACATCCTGCATTTCCGCAGCCAAACTCAATTGTATCTCGCCTTCGCTAAGGATTGGCTCCGGCTCTACATGACGACGAAAGAAACCTCAACCGTCAACGGCAGTCAATTGGGTAACCTTCTCAACAGAAACCAACTATGTCTGCAGGAAACCATAGGTTTTTACAAAGAAATATGATGGGGGTTCCTGCGGATTGTCACTTCATTGATCCAATTCTGAGGCTTTGTGGTCTCCACATGTCTCCACTGCATAAGCGGGATTGCAAAGTCTCAGCACCACGCGCCACCGGTGCTTGCCTTGAACAATTGCATCACTTGGCTTTGTCCACTGAATTTTTCGTTTTTTTGCCATGATTTACATCCAGTGAATTGTGGTCAACAAGCACATTACTTGGGTTTGTCCACTAAAATGAGGGATTTACCATGATGTACATCCAGTGAATTGTGGCCATTCAACAGGTGGGAACATCATATATTCTACTCTGAGATTGTGGCTTTTCTCTTCTGGGGATGAGCCGTCAAGATTTTCATAGATTAGACACCGTTGTTCTTATCGATGCCACAATCCCTTTCTGCTGGTCAAAGACATAAAGACTGTATCCTGAGTTTTTGGTTGAAAAATGTCTGACTCACTAAAAACGACATTTTTCTCATACATTGCTTGGAGGTTGAAGGTCCAATCCACCAAGTGGATCCAATTGGGGCACCAAATTGTTTCCGGAAGGACTCGACCCCCATTTTTGATCGCCCGTGTTTTTGATACCTAGAGGTCAATCCCCAATGTTCATGAATGTATCTTGCACATTGGGTACCCTCTGGTAAACTAACATAACTATGGAAAATCACCATTTTTAATGGACAAACTCACTATGAATGGCCATTTTCAATAGCTACGTTAGTCATTACCAGAGGGTACCAGTAGTGGCTGGTTTAAGCTTCCCATCCGGCAACGCGGCCATGGAACATCCACCATGGGAATTTTCCAGCGAGTGGATGACACCAGAGGGTATATCCTGTTCAAATCCCATCAATCCCACCAAATCCCATTAAAAAATCCAATTTGAAATACCATAAAATACCATCAACATCCTCCATGTTTGATGGCCCGTTTTCATCCCAAATTCGCCAAGATGCTCTCTGCTGCCAAGGCCGCAGCTGCCGCCTGTGCCGCTGACTCAGCGGCTTTTCGATTCATGTTGTCAGCGGCCTAGGTCAAATTGCAGATCTGAAAAGCGCAGGTGCATCCCACTTAGTAAATGGCTTATACACCCACTCATATATCTGGAATATTCCCACTTATATACGGGATTGTACTATGGGTTATATAATATTATATATATAGATTTATTTATACATGTATATTATGGATCATGAACCACTTACCAAGTGGGATGCACATTCAAGTATAAAATATCTATATAATGTACATAGATAATCATCCCGCTAACGCAGGTGGAAGTTGAGAGAGAAGATAACAACGTAGCTGCAAGATGTCGGAAAAAAGATGATAGCGTAGTTGGAAGTTGATAGAGAAGATAACAACATAGTTGGAATATGTTCAAATGTTAAAGAAATCAGTAACGTAGTTGGAAGTTCTTACTACAAAAGACGTTAATACCCCACCCCACCCCATCCCAAGATGTTAGAGAATTTGAAATAGTAACAACTACACGTTCGGTTGTCCACCCGTAAGCATAATCATAGATATACCATAATATAATATAATATAATATAGACATATAGAACATAAGTGGATCTACATTTCAAAGATTATCTCTGAAGATAGAACATAAGTAGAACATATATCCTATAAGTCTATAATGTACATAGATACATGGAAGGTAGTGTGTATGGATATGTATGCTGTATGGATCCATGCCTATGTCTATGGCTATGAAATGTCCATTCCAGTCTTCCATGATGTGGAATCTTAAAAGTGGTGGTTTCTTGCTGCCAAAAGTCTAAGGTGGGTCACGAAACAAGTCACACTCTACCCCCCAAAAAATGCTCAACAAATCTGGGTGTAACGGTGTAACGTGAAACAAAACCATCAAGATCTCCAAGATTTCTGACATTTCGATATCTGAAAACGTGGCTTTTCCGACCAACAAAAAATCCACGAGTCACTGAGGCACCCCACCAGCTGCATGAGCCTATGCAACATATATGCCTCGGATCAGGATACGGGTAGGAGGATATACTGAGGATGTATTGGAGATGGATGTTTTTTTTTTTTCTGGGATCACCATAGATTGTGGTTGTAATATGTCATAATCACAATAAAAGCCTCCGCAATTGCAGGAAATTTCTGGTCTCTCCGTCAGCAAAAGCTTTTTTTTGGCTTTGGCAGCATGACCATCCGTGATGATCCGCAAATAAGGAAAACTCGCCGTTCCCTTCAGTGCCACACAGGTGTGCCCAGACTTAGGATCACGGACACCTGGCAGGTTGGATTCATGGTTCCACTTCGCTTCAAACTCGGTACTTCTCATGTATCTGGCCCCCAAGAGTCCCCCCAACAAGGAATACCAAGAAACCATGGTTTCATAAGGCATGACATCACCATCATTTGGGACCACAGAATGTGAGTGTTTAATATGAATGAAATGGGAGATGGGGTTACTTTAAATGGAATAAAAGCACCCATGTATACATGATGATTTCACATGTTCCCATGAAACGTTGGGGGTGTTCCGTCGCCAATTTTAAATGACCTGAGAGATCCTATATATCTGACTGACAAGTGGGCTTAATCAATCTTCAACTTTTTTATGACCTGCGTGAGAAAGATGCATGTCTACTCCATCTATCCCCAGATATTTCCAGTTCCTCTCCAAAAAAGAACATCCTTTCCAACTTTCCAACTTTCCAAACATTCGACTTCTCACCTCAGCCACATCCTAAGTCATGGGGGTACCCCTAAATCATCCAAGTCATGACCATGGCTTAGTATTGAAACAACCACAATGTCACTTGGCATTTCCCCCCAAAACCTTTGGACGCCTCCAACATCTCCCCTCTCAATGGGTCACCAGATGCCTCTGGGCGGCCACACCAGCACCTTCCAATAGCTCCGACGGGCACTCCAGCGGACCCAATCGACGATGCGCGCCGTCATCTGCATCTGCCGTAGGGTCTCCTTTTTTAGGATTTTGCCAGCACATTGACCCCAGGGTAAACCAACATAGCCGTGGAGTTTACCGAACACGAAACCACATTGTTATAGGTGTTCCACATCTTTTCGTAACCCTAGGGTAACCATCAAAAATAGAGATTCAACTGATCATAAACATAGGAAACGATGATGAACCAGTGGATCTAGGGCCTATACAGATACCATATTTCCACGCAAACTCACTTGGGGTCATCATGCCAGTCGGATTGGGACATGTACAATCCTAAGGTCATCACAAATGAATATCTAATGACATGTTGGGTGAAAAACCAGCCAGGAATAAACAAAAAAAAACTACAGTATATCGGGTACAACTATGGTGATAACCTCAATGAATTAGGATCTAATCCCTAAAACTATAACTATGATTAATAGAAATAGATCGAAATATAATATGCATGTATTTACTGCTTTATATCATTGTATATCCACATAACCAACAATAAACACTACTATTAAACCAACAATGAATTCACCCAGTAACTCACCCAAATATGACCTGATATCTTGTGGCGATCACAGGTATTTTTTTTCAACTCTCCTCAAGTGAGGTGATCACATTGTCATTGTGACGCTCGCGCACCCGCAGCACTTCCTTGATGACCTGCCGACGATTGCAAAAGGCGATGTGTGACTGACAACATACACAGCGGAAGATATGTTTGATATCCGTTGTTCACGCAAATTAAAACAAGTCGACCCATAGTTACCCTATGTTACCACCAAAAGAATAGAACGTCGGTTCCACGATGGTAGTGGTATTTTGACGATATTTACCTCATATTGTATTTCCATGTATTTCCAGGTTTCTAAATCTCATGATTTGAAACTTCTTATGTAGACATTCATAAACCACCCAGAAAGTTTGAATAACATCCCCCGGTGGCGCCCATGGATGCGGCAAATGGCCAAAGGTCCTCACCAATTTGGTGGACATAGCATGATTTTGCCATCCCAGCCCATTTCATAAGACAAGGCAAAACTTGGTTGCTTAAGGAACCTCAAAACAACAAAACATCTATTCAATAAATTCTTCAAATAGTGAATTCTAACCATTGAGGAAATAGTCGCCAAATCATCAGCAAATCCAGGCCTCAGCACGCTTCTTCACGAACTTCTCCAATGGGAGGCTCTCGTGTCCTGCCACGCCACGTTGGCGGTGATGAAGGCAGAATAGTCACTGCTGAAGGGTGGAATGGTCTTTCTCATCACACGTTCTGAACAGCAAACTTGCTGAAAGTTTAAATCATCTTTGATCAGACTGTTGAATCCAGATAATCCAGTCTAACCATCTGGAAGCTCAAAAAAAATCTTTGGAGCGCGTACTAGTCTTGCCGTTTTGTCTGGCGAATAGAATTAAAGGATTAGACATGATTAATTAAACTATATGTGGAAGTGCAGTTCCAGCTATAAGTGGATATACCTATCTATATATCCTATCCTATCCTGTGACCGTCCAGTACCGACCCTCCTGCTGGAGCTTCCATGCCCTCGTTGAACATGGTGTAGATGGGTGGAATGTCCTGCAAAAATCACTGCAGCTCGACCTGATTGTGTGGTTTTATATGGGTTTATGGTTTTATATGGTGTTTTATGGATTTATATGGTTTTATCTAGTTTTATCGATGTTTGATCTCGAAATCTTCACCAAAGCAACATGAATCACCACATAGTCTCAACCCCGGATTAATAAACTCTGGTTGATTAATTGTGGTGCTTCCCAAATAATTAGTGATTTTATGGCTACTGAAATGATGCCCCCCAAAAAAACAGCGGTTTGGGGTTTATTAATCTGGGGCTGACATTATGTGGTGATTCATATGCCTTTGGTGAAAATTCCGAGATCAAACATCGATAAAACCATAAAACCGCACAATTTGATGATTGATTCATGTTACTGATCACTCAAAAAACATTGACACTACTATCACAACCAGGTTCTCTAGTAACCCCAGAACGAATAACCAGCCAATAAGGGTGTCTTTAATGGCTCATGCCCTTGAACAAAAAAAACCTGAGCAGTGTTCAAAACCCTGTAATGTCATACATTCCATTCTAATTATTGTGGTTGGTTGAGAACGGGATTCTTGCAGATTCCCAGTTCATGGATCGTGAGAATTGCGAAACCCCAATATTTTGGGTTGTATAACACCTGAACTAATTATCAACCAACCAATTTATACCAATTTATCATATTTCTGTGATCACCAGGCATTGAACGCAATGATATCCTCACAGATGTGATGGTCAAAACCCCATGGAAGACTCATAAAACCCCCCAAAAAAACCTACAACAACCCTTAAACCCCCTGTATTTTAGCCTTGTAAATTCCCCTGTCAAAGCCTGATCAAACCCGTCCGTCCTTCCGCTTGATGACCTTGGACAAGGCCCAACCCAAGGCGCCATAGGCCCGCGCGAAGTCGATACTGTTGTCCAATTTGTCCACCTCGAAAACAGTTAGGGTTTTCAAAAGCGGTGCGGCCAAAGTGCGGTAGTTGACGCACATAGCTTGGTGAACTAGGGTTTATGGGGGATATAACTAACTATAGTTAAGTATAGTTAATGGGTTAACTGAAATTCCTCTGAACATTCATGGGAATGGCAAACGAACCCAGTCCAAAGTCCAAAGTTTTGAAAACATCGTCGAACTTTTGGGATTAAGTCGTGACACCCTCACCGTATGAGAGGATACTTCCGTACTTTTACCAAATCCTTGTTGCCTGAAGCATCCACTGAATCCAACAGCTGCATGATGATCATCACAGCCTGCCTTGTTCAAGACCACAAGAAACTTGTGGTTCCTCAGCAGGGAGAGGTTTGGTGGAACAACAAAGGCAATCGCGGTGCGGATAAACAAATGATGTGGTAATTCACATCGCCAATGGATTGGTTTCAGAGAATTTCTATAGGAACATGTTTTTTTTCCCCAATAAAGTGTTCGTGAACAGTTTATCTTCAACCAATGCTGAGCATTGTGGTTGAATACACTTCACATCCACAGTTTTTCATGCCTGCCTTGCACATGATGATACTTTGGCATGTCAGGGCATGCTCTTCAGCAGAAAACCAACAGACGTACAGCGTTTAGGACGCGCAAAGGGCTGACGCCTTGGGCCATTTCTGGGACATCGCATACCTTTTTGGACCAAATCAGTCACCGGAACCGAACCGCTGGGCGCCAACGGCATGCCTTTGGGTTCCGATGCGAAAACTGGCTAGGACTGGCTATGACTGGCCATCATCTCGTATGTGCACAATGGAGCCGCACCAGAAGTTGGTCTGGTGCCAAGATCTTTGACAAATGTTGACCAACTTCCAAGCTCTTCCTAGCCTCATGTAGGGTTCGAGTTGGTGTTGGCATTGTACCTGGACTCCACCTGGTGGTTGCAAAGCCTGTGGCAGCCATAAATTTATAAACACTCTACTAAAGAATCCAGGAAACATCTAACACATCTATAAACACCTAAACAAACAACACGCATTTAACAATCACACCCAAAAAAAAAACCATACGAGCAACAAAAACATCCCAGCCACATAGATATCCAGCAAGACGTTCTTCACCAGCAATTGCCAGGCGTTTTTCAAACGTTCGCGGCGCTTGCTTCGCATCACTTCCTCCAGGCGCTGCCGTTCCTCCTCCGCCGCTGCACGCAACTCGGCTTCGTCCCGCGCCCAAATGACGCAGCCGGAGTAGACCTGAACGGCCCGGAACGGCCGCGAAGGCATAACGAAAAAGGCACCATCACGTACTAATCAACATTAATCAGCATTAATTAATATAAATCGACATCACATACAAAAGCTATAAAAACGATCAATTGACCAAAAGTACAACAATCAAGATCAAGTATTAAAAAACATCAAAAAACCTATAAATCAGCCAAACCATTAAAGAAATCATTCTATCCCCATAGCAATATATCAAAATTATTCCCATCAGAAAATGGCAATCTCTCCGAGCCACAGGTTTCAGCTGTCCCCTTTCCTTCCTGAAACTGGTCACTGCAGGCGCAAACTCCAGGCCCAGTTTCAGCGCCGCCACACGTGCCGCCTCGTCATCCACGTGGACGCAGCCTTGGGGTATACCGGAGGTCACCTCGATGTTGCCGTAGTTGTTCACACCTACCAAGGTGACCAAAAAAGGTGGAAAAGCAACCCACCAAAATATGGGAAAATCATAGGAACATCACCTATAAATGGAGGTTTATAGCTGGGAAAATCATCGAACCAAATGGTGGATTTTCCAGCAAGCCATGTGTGGAAAAATGGCATGGAAAACCATGGAAACATGGTGATCAATTGGGATACTGATAGATACTCATGGGGACGATCGTGATTTGTCCCAAACTAAACAACTATTGGCCATGTTCATTGATCGTTTCGTAGACAATGTTGAATGAACATGGGACATTTACCGCCAACATAACAAATGTGTTCTTTCAAGTAGTAGAAAGATGATGGCATAAGAGTTTTTCAAATAGTACCCTCTGGCAATTCAACAAAGCTATGGCCCAGACAATAGATGATTTACCCATCTAAAATTGTGGCTTTCATACGTATACAGTATATATATATATACATATTGTGCTAAATTACGAACTTGTAGCAATATAATGGCCATATCATGACTTTGTCATCATTTTCCCTAAACATAATGGCCACAGAATGGGAAGTTTTCTATTTAAAAAACTGGTCATATGAGGATATTGCTGGTACAAGCAAGTTCCCCCATTTTCATCCATTTTCAGCATATCAACCTATGAACATCCCATTTTCAGCATATTAACCCATATTTTGGGAAATGCATGGAACTGCAATATTTGTTTTTTGCTTCGGGAGCCTTTAGCCATTCAAAACCCGCCTGGTTAGACCCTGACCCGCGCCTGGTATGGGACCTCCAACCGTCACCAGCTTCACTTCCGGCAGTTCCTCTGTCTGCCACCTGAACCATGAAAGTTCTAACCTGTTTTCCCATCCCATTCTATTAGTTGATGTGTAAAGTGTAAATAATATACCAATGAAAGGTTAGAATATGTTAGGATAATCATGAAACATCATTGAATGATCTAGGTTACGGTAGGTTAATAACATTTCACAACCCCCTATCTATCTATTTCAGAACTTACACTTCAGAAGAATTCACAAGCCTTCAATTTGTATATCTTTTTTCGTCTCTCACCTTCCAAACAATTTGGAGCAATACATCGAATCTCGTCTCAGAACCTTCACCGGTCGTTCCTCCTGTCGCACCAAGCGGCCCTGCTGACGCCAACGCGAGGCCGTGCAGAGGTCCTTCACGTCCGCGCGGCGCCAGATGGCCTCCTTGCCCTGGAAGAGACCCACCGGTTTCGTGCTGGGATCCAGCACTTGATCCTGACGCACCTGGGACAAACTGGGCGGATGTGGCCGAAATTGGATGGAGAATGTGGGATGGTTAAAACATCTTAAAACTTTGAGGAATTAAACAAACAGCTTCATGATGTTCATTTTTGGAGTCTTTGGAATTGAAGCGCTGCTTGGTCATGTCTGGTGACATACATATCTAGTACTTGGAGATAGTTGGAGGACAATCCTCCAACCGTCTCCAACTATGACGCCCGAAAACACACAACGTTTCAGTCCAGAAGATGGTCAGGGATCCAAGCAGAAAAATCATCTTGCAAACCCAGTTTCACTGAGATTAAAGGCTAATATGGATAAGTATGTCAGTATGGTTAAGTTTCTTCACACACTTCGAATGGATTCAATTGGTCTAGTTTCAGCCGCAAGCAACAATCATTTCTCCCATTTTTCAGGGGTGAAGGCGTCAATGACCCCCACCCCCACACCGGTCCACCTGAGAATCCAAAACGAAAAGTCGGTGGAATTTGAACTGCGACCGCGATGTCGGCAGCGGTTCCTGTTCTGCCAACTGCTGGAGCCATTTTCGATCCAACTCATTGGCCTTGGAGTTCACCTGCGGTAGAGCTGGGTGATGAGTGTCTCATAAGGTTTTGGAGTTCATGGAGGCTTTCAAACATCCAATTTAAATCTTATAGCTTATGGATGCTTATGGTACATGTGAAAAGTGAAAACTATATCAGTTGTATACATTTGTGCTAATGGGCATGTTCTTTGACATATTAAGCCGATTCTCCCAACAATACAATCGACATAAAACAAACATATGCTGTAAACATGTTTCACCCACCCGCCTGTCGCCCATCCAGCAGTTCATTCCAAACCTTCACCAAGGATCCCCGGGCATCAAGGATCCCACTCCACCTGCCATAGCGACCAGTGACATCCCATAGGTCCCCTTCAGCTCCCATGGCCAGAATCCAATGGCTGGAATGACCAGCAGGTACTCCCAATGCTCTCCAGCGCTCTACCCTGAAATCGAAGATTTCGACCCAAAGCGATGGCTCCGGCAGTGCTTCACCCCTCAGCAGGTCGCCACATTTCTTGGCGCCTGGCAGGGGGAGGGACAGCACCAAGCGCGCCGGTTGCTGGGAACGGCAGCGCGCCACCAGCAACAGCAGTAGGTCCATGCTGCTTCCGCCCCCGCGGAGAGCATCGAAGAGGCGCAGGAGACTGGGGACTGCTTCGATCGAAGGCTTCGAGGCGAACTGGGCCTTGATCTTCCGGAAACTCAGCTTGACACCTTCATCCAGGATATGAGGTGCCAATGAAAGCACTGCAGCTTGTAATAGCTCTCGGTTACACATCTGGTTCAACCAACTCAGGCGAGCAATGAAGGATAAAACCAGAATCCGGTAGCGTGCTACTGCTTGCTCACGTAAGGCTTTCCATTGCTTCCTTACTTTGGCATTCTGTTCCTTACCGCTTGTCGAGGGCTTTGCATTCGCCTCCTCTTTCTGTGGCTGCACCGGCTGCACCTGGGATTTCTGTGCCCCTTCAGGGGTTGGCTCGGATGCGGATGCTGAAGCAGAATTCGAATCCACAACCGGGGCATCAAAATCTTCGTTCAAGGCATCGCCAATGTCACACCAATCGATATCACCAAACTCATCCTCCGCATCCGCGGAAGCTTCGACTTTCGTGGCTGGAACCTCTTCCAGCAGAAACGATTCCAGATCATTGCCACGGTCGGAAGTCCAATTCATGGCTCAAGCAATCAGCCCTCACATTTCTGTTCTCGTTTTTATGTCATGTTTATTCATTTTATGTGCTCTTATCATTTCTTATCATTTCTTATCATTTCTTATCATTTCTTATCATTTATTATCATTTCTTATCATTTCTTATCATTTCTTATCATGTTTGATTCTATTTACATTGCCATTCAGGGTTTGACAACCTCCCTCCCTTGACTCATTCGCAAGTCTTCCAAGTCTTTGAAGAAGTGTTTGTGTTGCGCTGCTGTTAAATTGACCACGCTTTTGACATGATATGCAATTTTTTTAGCCATCACTCACTTTGAGACATTCAAAACAAACCATTGAACAGTCACAATTAGTCACTATGAAATATATTATGCCTATAATATCCTATAATTATATAATCAAATGGGAAACTCTATTGCAATGCCATGCAATGCCCATAAATTAGAAGAATATCATCGCAATTCATCGCCATCACTGTGGTTTCATGTTCCAAAATTTGTGTTTCTTCAAGCAGAACTCCATGGCTGGGACAAGGGGTGGAAGATCATCTACTGGAGAGCCTAGCAGAACTTGCTGGAAGAACATCTGCGGGGGTGTTGGATATTGGCACCAGAGTGTCTCGAATTCTCGCAGCAAAATGCTGTCGCAAATCCAACCAAAGGATTTGCTAAAGGAATATGTAACTTACCATAAAAACATCAAATGACTTATTTTACCCACCAGTTTGTAGTCAACATCCACAATTTACACAGGGGTCAAATGAGTCATTGTGTTCTTTTTGCTGATCTCATGAGTTTGAACACCATGGCCTGTTACACGAAAAAATCTGGCTTACCACGAACTGATCATTGGCTGCCCCTCCAAATATCGCCCAGCGGCAGTCCAGACAAAGCTTTCGTGAGCACATCTAATGTCTCTCCTGTGGTCCTGGTGCTGCGCTGAAATCAACTGGGGACTTTGACCTTGAACCAATGGAAAACATGGAAGTAGAACCATGGAAATTCAAACCCCCATATGTTTGTTGGGAGATGGGGCCTTTATAATTATGGTGAAATACGTATATCAATTTATAACTGGAACTGCACTTCCAAGTATAATGGGATGATAATGGGAATATTTCATAGAATATGAATGGGGATATCATGGGACAAGAATTGGGATATTGCTTGTTACCCTCCGGTGTTATTGCTAGAAAATCCCCCAGCTATAGTTCGATGATTTTCGCAGATATCAACCTCCATTTTTACGGGATTTCCAAATTGCCATGTTAGATTACCGGAGGCTATTCGTTTTGGGAACCTCAACATCCACCAACTAATTTCGGGGTGGCAAATCCTTGTGGATCCTTGTGGGGTCTACAGCCTTCCAAGATAGACTGATGGTAGATGAATGGGGCTTTCATGTGCAAAACTTAGATATCCAGAGGATTTCAGCAGCACATATATTTCTGATGATAGTTGGTTCATGTTGGTTCATGTTGCCCGACAATATCCTACTTCCCACTATATCCCCATTATCCCATGAAATCACCATTTTTGGTGGCTGAATCCAAAATCTTCACGGTTCCAGGCAGAAGCCCCACAGGTGCCCCAGGTCTCCCAGGTCTCCCAGGTGCCCCCAACCCAGGCTTGTCGGGGTCGAACAACAGCAGAATGAGATCTGCTCGTTTCGCCCACCACCGCACCACCTGTCTTCGGCCATTGGAATGGGAAGGAGTGCCATGAAATCATGAGAAGATGTGGGAAAATCATGAGAAATCACCAAGTGTTGGCCATATTTTTGTGCAAAAGAGGGTGGCAAAAAACCATCATTTCAGTGGATGTTTAACATGTTTAACCATCAAAAAAACAAGGGTTAACAGAGTTAACAGTATTTAAACATATGAACCCACCCAAACAGGATGATCACTGACTGGTGGTTCCAACACACCTGAAACATGACATCATGACCTCTTCTCGGGATCGGGTCGCCATGTGGCGATCTAATTGATCAAAGGCTTTGTCGCTCCGACAGAAGACTGGGGTTACCACAATCCTTATCTGATTGGTCATGAGTCATTAAATAAATGTCCCCATTGAACATCACCCAACCATTAGGTATATGGTCTATAATGGCTACTATAAGGTGATGTCCAATATTCCCAAAATGGGACAGTTACCAACCCCTGTTGGTGGTTGACTTACCCCTCTGAAAAATGATGGACTTCGTCAGTTCGGATGATTTTCCATTCCCAATATGATGGGAAAAAAGAAAAAATCATGTTCCAAACCACCAATAAGTTATATAAATCATAAACACCAATTAAACACCATAACTTGGGTTGTGATTTACAGCTGTGGGAATTGACCAACTATTGACCAACGTGAATCTCTTTTACGGTTGTAGATCTGCCATGATCCCGCCTCAACGAAGTTGTAACCTCGACCCCGAGCTTCACTCCTCGCAACATATCAATGGCCATTATTTGGCTACCCTCTGGTAAACTAACATAGCTATTGAACATGTCCATTTATTGTTGATTTACCTAGTAAACATGGTGATTTTCTATAGCTATGTTAGTTTACCAGAGGGTATATTCATGGTTATAAAATAAGGCTTATGGACATGTTTATAATATTTTATAAACATGGCTATGAAAATGGATCAAATCAGTAGTATCATTTCCGGGACTTAAATTGGAGGCACCTACAGGGAAGTACTAGAATCTAAGGCCTATGTTTTGGGGCTATGTAAGGGGAATATGTTCCCAAAGTATGGCTTTACATGGTACAGTACATCTAGTTTAGGTACATGATTTAAATTGGACATTGAATGTAAGCCATAAGCAACATCACCAAACATCACTATATAAGGTGTAAAATGCTGTGTCTGAAAATCAGGGTACCCCCGGTAATTTAACATAGCTATTGAAAATGGCCATAGAAATAGTGGATTTTCCCATTGAAAATTGTGATTTTCCATAGTTATGTAAACGTTTACCAAAGGGTATACCATGCTATACCCCCCTTATAAGTGGCCATTTCAATTTGCACATTTGAGCTGGACAATCCCACTAGAAATTTGTCGATGACACCGCAGTATCGGATAGTATCCCAATGATTATCCCATCATATCTCCATTAAGATTCCATTTGGTTGGTGGTTTTAACCATCTTGAACAATATTAGTCAATGGGAAGGATTATCCCATCATATATCCATATATGAAATGGAAAATAAAAAATCTTCCAAACCACCAACCAGCCATTATATAATATCCCCTATCATGGTTATGTTCCCGCTACATTCCCATGATTATCCCAAGAAATCCGCCATGGCAGCCATGGCAGCCATATCTCCAACTCCCCAACTTCCCTGCGCCATTTCTGGCGAAGCTCAGAGTATTCTCGTTCACCGGGAGGTCGATCATTCCTGGCCTCAGAAACCATGGAAGCATTGGAAGCATTGAAGAAACAACTGGGAATTGCTTCGTCCAAAAGTATTCATCCATCTTGGAAAGCCAGTTTTAGATATCACTGATTTCAAATAACACTTTTGTTCTACAAGTGTCGACATGTCTCAACAGTCACTAGTCTCGCCCGAATCAGTCAGCAGAAATTTCAGTGCTGCACGTGTCTACGATCTGCAGCTTGAAGGGCATCTGAGAAGTTTGAGGCAGGATTAAGCGCTTCCTGGCGTGGCAGCTGTTCCACTGGTGGATGTGGCTGGCCAGAATTCGAAGGTTTATCCCAGTGGGAGAAGACTTGAAGCTCAAAGAAATGGGCCCCAATATCCACCAGAAAAAATATATTCGTGGGAAACATCTGAACACTGAACCTTTTATTGATATCTACATCATATCACTACGCATCAATATTCCAAGAAGGTCTACAATCCATCTTCCAAAAAAAACATATGGAGGTTACCATGAATCGGGGTACCTGGGTACCTTTAAATTATCCATTTTTGTTCGGGATTTTCCAGTATAACCATCCAGCTACTGGGATACCCCCATGACTCCACTAAACCCCCGTGGGTGACTGGGATGTCTTCAGCGACAGGCGCCTTCTGAGCACTCCTGCGAAGATCTGTCCAAATCGCTGCAACCTGATGATCTTTTAAGGTGGAGCCCCCAAGTCCTGTACCCAGAAAAACATAGAAAAACCATAGCTTCTACCTTAAACGTTCCAAAAAACCATATTTAATCCAGTTATAAACCCCAACAAAAACATGAAAAAACTCTCAAGGGGGTCCCACCTTGGATCCAAGTGATTTTAACCTCACTCGCTCGGATCTCAGGGTTGGGCTCCGCATAGGGCCGATTCTCCGGACAGCCCAGAACTGTGGGCCCGTCCTCACGAAAAAATGCAGATCATTTTCCCAGGGAAACCATGGGTTTTCCACATCTATTTCAAGTCTTAAAGCCTGGTTTTTTGCGGTGCAGTTAGAAGCTACTAGGAAGATGTCTGAAGCAGCTAGTAGAGGGGTTAGCGAATGGCTTTAAGCCCAAAACAGCTCAGATTACAGGGGGTTGAATAGCTAAATTCTCCAGTTGCTAACTGCAAACACGATGACCGGGCATACAACTTCATACAGGCCACACCAATCTGCACATCAAAGGAGTGTGCTGTTGAGAATAAGCCTCTAGTTTGTAGGATTTTGGTTTATACCATTCATTTCAGTCAAATTTGGGGATGGTTCATTGGGTTTACCACATTCATGATTCTAGATTATGACTACAATTAGATAATGAATATCTTTATCCATAGTACATAATGATTATAGATGATGATTGACTAACCATTCAATATACCCCCAAATCATAATCTATCACGGGTTGATTATCCAAATATTGATCATCCAAATATAAGATAGATATATAGAATCTAAAATCCCCATGTTGATAGTATATTGGTTAGACTGTAGTCTATTGAATTTTTCATGATCCGCCTTTTTTTTGTCGATTATAATGGTAGAAGCCCCATATTTATCATTATATATCCCATATGAATCCATATGATAGATATATGGATATGGATTCTATAATCCCCATAGTTAGATTAGATTAGATTAGATTAGATTCTAGTTTAATATATGGTGGTTTCCTAAAATAGAGGTACCCCCAAATAATCCATTTTTGTTTGGGATTTTCCATGATAAACGATCCAGCTGTTGGGGTAGCCCCATTCCAGGAAAGCCCCATATCCCCAGATCTAAAATCTAGTTTAATAATATCCATATAATCTATTATAGAATCCCATATATTCCCATCTATTCCCATACAATCCCATATAATCCCATATATTTCCATATATTCCCATATATTCCCACATATTCCCATCTATTCCCGTACAATCCCATATAATCCCATATATTCCCATATATTCCCATCTATTCCCATATAATCCTATATAATCCAATATAATCCCATATAATCCCATATAATCTGTTTTAATGTATCCCCAACTAACATTGGGGATTCGGGATCGATCCCCCTTTGGTCATGCCAGAAATCCACTGGCTCTCCTCGGTTTCGCTGCTGGTCCGTCGCTCCAAAATGGTGAAGCCATCATCCGTGGGGGCCACACCTGTGTCCTGAACCTCCACGCGGCTGGGAGTCCCGAAAAGGTGGACATCAATTTTGATGTGATCTATATATTCTAGGGATATCTGATTTGGATGCGAATTTTCAGATTTAAGGATGGGATTTATGTGGGATTTATATACGGGATGTTTATGTGGCTTATATATAGTTATCTGATGTTATCTGATTGTTAAATATAGGTATAGGGATTATAACCCCCATAAGTTTCGGATATGGGGCCCCTATGGTGAAATCTATCCACGAACAGTTCACTGGAACTGCACCTCCACGGTTGCCGAGATAACATGAAAAATGTGCATGGCTTGTATATATTCAATTATATGCATGTATGTACCCCGTGGTTATATGATGTTATGGGCTCTTTGCCCATGGTTATCTTCTGAGTCAGAATGTACCAGTGTTTGTGCGTGTAATGCATCTGCAAACGGTATGTGTATATATATATATATGTGTGTGTTATGTGTATGTATGTATATATATATGTATATATATATTATATTGTATACGTACAACCAATGGTTTTGCTACAAGATTCCATTGGACAGTGTGTAAGATTGCATGGAGTAGAGCAACGCGTAAATACATACCCCATGGTTGTGGACAAGTACATTGATTTACCAATTTAACTATTGGATTTGTCGTCATAGACCCATAGTATATTTGGCTGAGTACATGCCTCCAATGATACCACTTTGGGAGGAACTGACGGGACAGGTTGGAACAACAATTGCCCAGTGATCTTGAAACATTGGGGGGTACCCTCTATCAAGCAAAGGACATCTGCCTATGAAAGAGTAGTCTGGATACAATGAAACCTGGGCCCTCCCAAGAAAAATATATCACGGGAAATTATCCAGATGTTTAAGTTTGTGTTTTTGGCCTATACTACTACTATAGAGTCTTATAGATGCCTGACCCAATTTGGACAGTGGTCATCAGGTCATCATTGTTCCATCAGATTTGCCCCGGACACGCGAAACACGCCTCTTTCCCCAGCAATTTGTTGATGAAAGTCGACTTCCCCGAGGAGTGATTGCCAATGACCAGCACCTCGTTTTTTTTTTTTACCACGGCACACCGTGTTTGGCTCCGGAAATCTGTTACGATTCCAGTTTGAAGCACGGAGAATATGATGATTAAATATGATTAAGTATCAACTATGATTGAATATGTTTATATATAATACGATTAAATGTGATTAAACATGCTTCAATCTGATTTGTACAACTACAGTGAATATGATTAAATATGATTAAGTATGATTAAATGTGATTAAATCGATTAAACATGATTAAATATGATTAGATATGATCAAATATGATCAAATATGATTAACATATATCATTAATATGCATGGCATTCTATGCCGCCTTGCAATGCAGTGTAGCACAATGCAATTCAACGCAATGCACTGTATAAATATACGCGTATGTCAAACGTATGTCTGTATGTGCATATATATATATATATGTATATATATCTATGTGTATAGATGATTATATTAGAGTATTGACGCAAAATCATCCCCAAACATTTCCAAAAAGTGGCAACAGTAGCAACCAGTTGACACTAGAGTGACACAATTGGAGCCAAGTCCCTGACCATGGGCGTAAATGGAAACGAGTGCATATCGTACCTGGAGAATTTGAAGTGTCAACAGTCATGCTCTCTGGTTATTTCCAGAAATGCGAGAAATGGGGCATAGAAATTGCCATCATTTTGACGCGGAAAGTGATGATAGACCATCAGTTTTTTGGGGTACACTGTTTTTCGGCAAACCCTCCATCTGCCAATCATGTCCAATGATTTCTAAACCAACAAACAATTTATCTGGGCCATTTTCATCGATGTTTTCATCCAGTTTCCATATGTTAAGTCACCGGAGGATGCTGGATCGCACTTCCCCCCCCCCGCGCTCACTCGAAGGGTCTGCCCGGCATGCGTTTGTCGATGGGGATCAATAGCTCGTCCTGAGGTCGGTTGAAAACGGGCGTTGGTTACTGCTGGGTAACCCGCCAAAAAAACAACTACACCAGCTGTGGGACCCCTCATGATTTTGCTGGCTTTTGTTGGAGAAATTTATGACTTTTTGACGACCCTGAATGAAGGTGAACAGATCTTCCATGGTAACCAGCTGGCCCTTGCAGCTGCAGCCCTCAGTTGTCACGGTCACCCTGCCTGCAAGAAGCAAACGATTCTCCGAAACTCTGCCTGAGCAGTGGGGCCAGCTTTCCACTCCTATCTGCAGTACCCTTTTGTCCTTTGGAAATTCAACAGTTTACATTAGTTTACCATCGAAAATGGCACAGAAATGTCGATGTTTTTTTTTCACAAATGGCGACTTTCCATAGCTTTGTTGAATTTCCAAAGGGAATGTCTTCACAAAATATGAACCAATCTCCTGAAACATGCTCTTTGCTGTCCTAATCCTAAATTGGGGTAATGCCAACTGTCAAAAACACAAACATGTCTTAAGCATGTCCAAACATCGCAACTGTCAATAGGTTGCTTTCGTTGCCACTAGTTGGATATATCTACACCCAGCAGTTGAACTACTTGCAGCAACTTGGCTAAATACTGAAATACCGTATGTGTTCAATGTTTTTCCTGTTTTACCCTCCGGTAATTTATCATAGCTATCGAAGCCATGGCCCAGAAAGCATATAGATAAATATAAATATAATTTATCTATCAAAAATGGTGGTGTTCCATAGCAAACTATGATAGATTACCAGAGGCCAGGTGAGATTCTGCAATCTTAGATCTTAGGACCCTCCGAACATCCGAAAACGACCTCAGCATCCGCCACTTGTCCTCCCTTCGAAGGCGATAGGTCCTCTTCAGAGCTTGGCTACCATATGTATCACCAGATTCTTGATGGATAAAGTTGAAAATGATAAAGTTGATTGTTAAATTGTCACTCTGGTTATTTGACATATAGATAATTTACGATGATGTCCTATCAAATATGAACGATTTTCCAAAGCTTTGCTAATTGGCAGAGGGGAATTAGTTTTTATAAGCAACCACCCCAAGATCCTATTAGAATGATGATGAGTTTCTTTCCTGTCTATTGGGAGGTACTAGGCATATATGTATCTGTATATTTATAGGTTTCAATTATCACGATCTTAGTATAGGATTTTACTTTCACACTAAAAATGGATGGATGGTGCTTTCGACCAGCCTATCCCTCATATTCACGGTTATCATATATATATATTATTTATCGCAATCCGACTTTTAGATGGTCATATCCCTGATGAATTGACTTTTATATCCCCATCAAAGTTTGGCTATAGTGACCAAAAAAAAAATAAAAAAATAATTAAGAACGATAAGACCAATTGAATGACCACTATTTTGGGATTTAAGTTGGTTTTCTGCATCTTTTTGGGAAATCGGGATCGAACTTTACTTCTTCGCATCTTTTTTTGGGTGCTTTGCTTTGCACCAAAATTGGTTGGTGGTTTCAATCTATCCCAGAAAGATTGGTCAATTTGCATCTGCATCATCATCATCATCATCATCCTCCTCCTCCTCCTCAGCACAGTTTGGATGGAACATTCAGAAAAAGTCATGGTGTCACACCGTGCCCCTAAACGAAGGCGCTCCGGCAGTCTGTAGGGTCGTCGCAAGCTTTTCCTGCGTGCCTAGGCAGCAGCTGTGACATGGCTGTCGCAATATATATATATATATACACATACTGTCACATACATATAATATTATATATATTACAATGTATATATATATATATATTATTGTAATATATAAATAATAATATATATTATAATATATAAATAATAAAAATAATATATATATATATATATATTATAAAATATAATATAATATAATTTAATTTAATAAAATAAAATAAAATAAAATAAAATATAATATTATAAAATATAATATTATAAAATATAATATTATAAAATATAATATTATAAAATATAATAAACTATAGTAACATAATATAACATAATATACCATAATATAACATAATATAACATAATATAACATAATATAACATAATATAATTTAATATAATATAACATAATATAATATAATATAATATAATATAGTATAACATAATATAATATAGTATAATATAATATAATAAAATATAATATAATATAACATAATATAATAAAATATAATATAAAAAAAAAAATATATAATATAATATAATATAATACAATATCATATAATATAATATAATATATAAATAATATACAGTATATATATATATTCAATATACCCACCAGGAATCAACCATGGCTGGGGAATCTCCCTATAAGTTGGAGAAATCATCGAACTAACTGGGAATTTCCACAAGGCCATGGAACTGATTCATCAGAAAATTCTTGGGAATCCTTATGCAGGCCACTCTACTTCCCTAATCGTGGTATGACCATCCCAAATTTAGGCACATGCAATCCAAGTTTTGACCATGGCATATGGGAAAGAGTGTGTTACAGTGTAAATTCCTTGGCGCATATCGCAGTTTGAAACATGAGTACAGGGGTACGTGCCAGAACATGTTTCGAGGATCATCCCACTTAGTAAATTGTTACTAACTGGATGTAGCTTGGGTTGCAACTACAACCCACTTATATATATATATATATTATATGCCACAGGAATCGGGGACTTACTAACCAGGGTTACTAGCCACTTACTGACTGGAATGGAATGATCCTCCAAGTGCTTCCCCCCAATTTCACAGCTGCTGTTTGTCCCTTGTTCTCCCGAGTGACGCAGTACCACATCACGGCTAGGACCAACAAAGCTCCTGCGAGATCTAGGGTGAGCTACAACTAATCCGGTCCCCCTTACATTCTCCTCCAGAAGCCATGGTTTAGTGGGGAATTTACAGATTTACACGTATTTGGAACCATACCATAGGGGTGTCAAATATTAGGCTGGGATTATTCGCGGGATGGGACCACGTTGACATCCAACAGTACCTGGAGGATCATCTGGATGTCACTGGTGAGCTCCTGCTCCATAGCTGCAACTCAAGGGATATTCTTCATAGAAGGGCAGCGGCGCTGGTGGCTCAATCGGGAGCTCGTCCGGCACCTTTTGCCTGTGACCCAGCTGACAAACATCTGCAACGACTGGCGGTTTTCGTGGTGAAAACAAAAGGTTTTGATGCCCTGAAAACGCCTGAACAAACACTTGGGGACACTAGAATCATTCCATTTCAGTTTGGGATGGAGCACAAAATAAATATGCGAAGACCACTTCCCCCCAGTTCAAAGCTGGTTCAAATCCCAGCGAATTAGTTGGATATATCGCTAAGTATCATGATATATCCATGATGACATTATGAATATATATATATATATAATCCCACCTCTTCAAGCCAAAGGCCTCATGGCCTGTCGCGATGTCGGCAGAACTTCGCCCCGCGCTGGAGTGGAAAAGTCATGGTGGGAACATCTTCACCGGAAACAATGTTTTTTCCCATTCAAATCCATTAAAGATAGCGGTTTCCATGGGTTCCTGAAAACGTTCCCTTATACCAATCGATTGTTAAAGATTATAGGTGGAAAGAAACATCCATTAATTAATAATAATAAAATCCAGTAGTAGGGTATGAGTTATAGATCAAAAGAGTAACCTATTCCAGTAAAGGGCTTGTTACACTTGCAAGACTATAGATAGATCAACGAAAGGATACTTCATATCATTGTCATCACTAGTTATCAACTAATTTATTGACAATATATATATATATGTAAATATGTAAATGTATATATATATATATATGTATGCATATGTGTATTCATATGTATGGTCCAGTGTTCCAACCCCCCTCCCCCCCCCGGCCATGGTCATGGGTCAGCCATAGTACTGTCCCGTTCCCCCTGTGGTGTGGTGGGGGTGTGGTCCCCCCCTGTGGTGTGGTGAGGGTGTGGTACTGTATGGATGGTAGGTATGGTATGTAAGTCTGTTGGGTTTGGTATGTTTGATATGACTCGACAGTATGTATGGTTTGTATGGTATGTATGGTTACTATGATGGGTATGGAATGTTTGCTATGTAAGGTAGGTATGGTATGGATGGCATGTATGTTTGGTATTGTATGTATGGGAGGTGTGGTAATTATATTTCATATGTATGGTATCTGTGGTATGCATGATAGGTATGATAGGTTTTGTATGTATGGTCAAAGTTCGTATGGTCAAAGTTCGTATGGTATGTATGGTATGTATGGTATCATTGGAATGTATGGTAGGTACGGTATATCTTAAACACATGTAGTGTTGTGAGAGTACACAGGTAGCAAATAGGAAGTAGATACATAGCACATGTATATATGACTATAGGTAGCACGTAGGTGGGAGTATGTTTGCTACGTAGGTCGTCTAAAAGGTAGCATGTACCTAGTAAATGCGAGGCTGGTAGTCAGAAATGCTGCAAAGACCTAGCAAATACGAGGCTGGACCTCAGAAATGCTGCCAATAACTTGCAAATACCATTGGGGGGGGGGTGTGGCAGATTACTATTCAGGGTCTGCGTTAATTTCCTGGAGGGTATCATCATGTATCCGCCCCTTTTTTGAACAGAAACCGTTCTCCAAAAAAAATGCACAGTTAGATATCTCGCAACAAAATAAGAAAGAACCTACGTTATAGTTATCATGATTACACAGGAATAAACCATCCCTTTTCCAGATTCTTTTCATGATTTTGTGTATATATATATATATATATCCCATATCGAATCCCATATCCCCCAATAAACCTCGATTCGTGAGGACGAATGCCAACACTCCCAAGACCTGGAGCATGAGGCAATGATGAAAGAACTATATTGATATATGAACTAATATTTGACAATATGATAAGTATTATAGTATCTAACTATTGTATACATACTATATATATAGATAATACATAGTCTTTATGATATATGACAATATTATATGAACATGTATGGTAATATATCATATTCTATCATAATATCTGATAATATTATATGAAAATGTATGATAATATGGTAATCCATGGCAATACCATTGATATTATATTACAATATCGTAATAACAACAATATACACATAACAGTAACAATGATAACCACCATGAATCAGAAAAATAAATAAAACTTTGGATTTGAGAATAGTTGTGTGAGAAGAAAACCAATCGAAAACCTTCATCATCCCTGAAAGAAAACAATCATCTCCATCCCCAAGCATTTGAGCAGTGTTACAAAAACCTTCTGTCATTCCATCATACTGGTTAGTTAATGATGTTAATGGGAAATCCCGTAATGGATGAAGGTAAAATCCGTGATAATCTCCAACATATTGGGTAGTATCATCCCGTATAAAATAGGAGTAGGTCGCAGCCAGTGCTCAATTGACAATCAAATATTATTATATATTATCATACATTATCAAAACCATGCATATAGGAATGTCCTCTTCGAGCACTCAATAATCATCATATTTATTACCAGTCTCATCATCCAAATCATATAACATTCTATATCATCAATTATCATCATATTTTATAATATTTTATGTATGATCATCATCATCATCTATAATATTCTATAAACATCTACATAATATTACATAATCATATTTTGAGAATCTCAGTCGAAAAAGCCTGGAAACCCCGCCGGATCTCCACCCGAAACCCGAAACAACGACTGCTCTGTCGGGCGCACGAAAAACCGCGCCGCCACAGGATCAGCGCTGCGGGAACCTGTGGCTGTCACGGGCTTTTTCTGAGATTTGACCATGAAAAGTGGGGATTTCATGGGATTTCATGGGATTTCATATGGACTTGAATAGGGATTTAGATGATTTTATAAATCATTTTATATAAATGGATGTTTTTCTGCTTCAAAAAAGGTTGTTTCGATGTTCTTTTTAATCATCATGAATTAATCATCATAACATCAACCAAGCCTCGCCGCGGAGCCATGGCACCCACAGCCATGGCGACAGCGACAGGATTGCGAACCGACCTAGAGGGTGGCGCCATTGCGACAACTTGTTGGGATCCAGTGTTGTCAAGGACATCTCATGAAACTGCAAGATACTATGGAAAGCTCTCCATTGCCAATCTTGAAACTTGGCAGGTCATGCCTACATGCCCGGCGAAAGGCATCGTTATCTGGTGGAGCGCATCAATTTGCGAAGGCACACAAAGATACGACTCATTCATTCGCTGGCATCATCCACGTTCATTTACAGTACTTTGGAGCTATTGTTTCTTGAACCCAAGCGCTTGCAGAGACATGCTGGCAATGGCTTCCGATACTTCCATACCCAGTCGCCTGGAAATCAGCAAGAAAGTTGTACAGTGAGATCCCGAAAGACTTCCTGTGGGGTGCCACTGAGCAACGCACCTAGTTATGGGCTCTCCAGTTATGAGTTGGTTTGTAACCTCCATGAACAATAGAATTCACCTACCGTCGTTGTAAACCAACTTAGCAAAGAAAATCCCATCCCGCGCCTCGCGCTTTTGCGGCAGCTTCTCCAAGTTTCGAACCTAGGCCAACCAAGCAGGACTGATTGGGGGGTTGAGCCACCTTTAAATCATGAAACATCTTATGAGACGTCTTATGAAACATCTCATGAGACATCTTATAAAACATCATAAGACAGACATCTAGCGAATTGGGATCCTGTCAGATTCTCCCTGGAATTCTGCATGATCGTCTCATCAGTCGGAGATGACCATCATCCTGCAGGACAATCACTATGTTTTTTTACCGGTAATTTTGTTCATCAGTAAATGGGCCATATTTTCCATGGCTGCGTTCATGAAACCAGAGGTTCAATTTCGAGGTTCAAACATATCTAAACTCTCAACATCATGGTAATCCAACCATAAATCTAGCTGATCTACTATATATTCAATAATTATTCAATATCTCAACATATCTAAACATTTTTGACATAAATTTGTTAGATCAGGCATGATCTCCCATGATCCATGGAGATGATGACACCGATCATATCCCAACGATGATCACATGATACCAGTGTTATATCACTGTGATATCCATATGCAGAAAATATATAAATATTCCATTCATTATACTACATTATATATTATATCCATTATATTATATTCATTATTTATATACACATAATATCCATCATCTATATATATAATATCCATTATATATAATATCCATTATATATAATATCCATTATATATAATATCCATTATATATATATATATAATCCATTATATATATAATATGAATTATAAATATATATATATATATTTATCTACCATTGGAACCAACTCAGGGCCTGAAAACCTCTGAGTTCAAAGTCCAGGGACCCCCACGGCTGACTGTGACTTCTGACCTGGCTGGTTCAAAAACATCCGCAGGAGTTGACTGGGGGAGTTCCCTTACCCTGTGGTAATGACTAACATAGCTATTGAAAATGACCATAGAAATAGTGGATTTTCCCATTGAAAATGGTGATTTTCGATAGTTATGTAAACGTTTACCAGAGGGTAAGTTTAGGATGCCTTTTGGGATGACTTTTAGGATTTGAAGATTTCTTGTGATCGTTGCCTGAAAATATTCGGATCATGCTTCAGTGGTGAGCCGCCACCAAACCTGAAAAAATTGAAGCCGTTGGATTTGAATTTTGGGGGATTATAGCCTCATAAAAACATCAGCTGCGCCTCGAAGCACCGTGGGGGTTTGGACCCGTTCTGGACGCGTCCTGGCCGGTTCCCGGAATATCTGTGACTTTCCTGGAAATCTCATGTGCTTTGAGTAGCACCTGGGAGTTCAGTTACTATCCCACACGCCAGCATCCAACCCGGAAAGTGTGTTGAAGTTTCCGTGCACTCCAGTAATCCAACCCGGCAAATGAACATCTCTGCATGTACCCTCCCAGCAATCAAGGCATTGCAATTTGGGACACATTTCGACCGATGATTTTCGCTACAAACCCTCCATTTATAGGGGATTTCCATGGATTTCCCATCTACAGTATATAACCATGTTTAATTACCAAAGGGTATAGATCTTGGCGTTTCGCAAAATGGATCTTCCACGGCCAAGTCGCTTGCAACATCTGACGGCCTCTGGGTAAATGGTTGAAAGCAACTAATAAAGCCGTCTGAGAACTTGCTAAAATCTTGATAAATGATCTACAGTAGCTGTATTACTTCAGACCCTAGGAAATTCACTCCCCAACCCCCAGTACTAGACCTTGAGTAGTTGAGGGTATATATCTTTAGCATCAAGCAATAATTAAAGCCTGCTATCGGAAAAATCCTGATGTTTGAGGAGTAACCCACCATCTTTTAACCCACATTTTTTCACAAGCCGGGAATAAGGCCATTTCGGGATAGCGACCCTCTGGAGATCAAAACATGGCTGGAAAATCATCCTCTAGAACTTCCCATTGGATTGATTGAGTTTGGGATAGTTACCCCACTAGTTATCCCATAAGTTACGCTTATTATTCATTGAGGTTAATGAACATGAACCTCCGCAAGAAACCCAGCTCAATGAATTGGTCTGAACAAAAAACAAGTTGTCAGACGTTGATCATGATACCCTGCAGAACGACATGGTTTTGGCTGGTTGGGCTACGAGATCGCCATCAAAACGACCAAAAAAACAAGGTCGTGTGAACATGCCCATCCAGTTGTTTGACCAACTATGGCTACTGTTCCATGTTTGGGGTGCAAGTTAGCCTGTAAGTGGCTATGATCGGGTTATGACCCGCTTGGTAAGTGGGATGCACATCTAACCCACCGCAGCTGCAGGGTGCAGTTCCAACATGTTCCAAGGCGAAACGGCTGTCCGGCTGTCCTGATACTTGGCCGCGTGCCTGCGTGGCGAGTCCGCAACCCGGATGATGGAATCCAGTGGACTGGAAGAGTTCTATAAACTGGTTGGCTGTAAACACCTGACATCTCAAAAGTTAGGGACCAAACATGCAATCACCAAAGAACTCAGTGAGGTCAGAATGCCCAAGCATCACATGACACCAGGGAGGGTACCTGTGTGAATCAATGTTTAACCAGTTTCTATGTGGACTGGAATTGATTTCTGGGGACTTAAAGGACTGAGTCATACCTTGGCAACAAGGATTTGCCCCGACGCATTTGGAGAATGTATCATCTGGCTGCCTCTTCACAGTGACAAATCAACAAAAAAATGAGCTTTTCCCAGCCTCAAACAGTTGAGGGCTTGGGCCAATTTGGGTGTGTTCAACCGATCAAAAAGATTGATCAACCGATGTTTGAAAATTTGTTGACATCCTACATTCCCACTTGGAGGATCATCTCACCTACTAAGTGGTTGGTAACCCTAGTTAGAAAGTCCCCGATTCGTGGTTTTTCCATGCTTTTCCCATACAAATGGGTTGTAACATGCTATAACTATGGTTACTACCCAGTTACTTCGTTGTGCCATCCCCTTTTTCAGTCGCTCTCGTTCAGGCGTTCAGCTCGTTCAGCTTCATCGATCTTGGCAGCGCACCAGTCCTGCCATCCGGCCGCTGCCCTCTGAACACCTACCATTTCTGGCCCATTTGTGGATGATTTATAGGATGTTATAACATAGCATTCTAGTATGTTATAGCCCATATATAAATGAACATAAATGATGATATGGAAATCTGATTATATGAAACTATGATTTCCCTATGAACAAATGGTGCAATGGGATATGATACAATGCGATAATGATGGAACAATGATGGGACAATGATGGGAATGTCAACCCTAAATTGGGATATGAAAGGAATATATGAATGGGGATATTGATGAATCTTCACTGGGAGATATATATATATAATTTATATTTATTTACTGTATATGTATATGATACTGGGATAATGTTGGGATTGCAACGGGAATATAATGGGAATTAACTGTGATGGGATATTGCCCATAGTGCCAACCCCGATTTGTATTCACCCTTGAACATTGTGGGGGAGATCGAAGGCATGTGATTGCATGATCTGATCACATGAAAACTGCACCACTTGTGAACTGAGTAATTCCTTTAGTATTGGGTTTGTTCATATTTGGTTGGGTATATATGGGATGAATTTCGATTGAGCAATTTATCTCTGGTGCATCTAGGGTTTAACCGTTGATTTTCTGCTCCGGAAACCCATATTTTTTGGTCGCTTGAAATCCCCATTTTTTGGTGCATGAATCAATACCCATATGGCGAAGCGCCTGAAAATGTTGGGAGAACCCCAAAATCCACAGGTTGATCAATTTCCATTGCCATTTGGGGTCTATACCACCTTTTTGATCCACACACACACTCTTGAAAGACATGATTCTTCAGTGTAAATCCAATTGTCCATGGTCAAATCCCTGGAAAATCGGAAAATCATGGGCGTACAAATCGCTATGGATTGATGACTGTTGATGGACTGCAATTTACCCTAATTTTGACCTTGGGAATCTGGCACAAAAAAACCCTAAAGGTTTACATAGACGTGGAAAAGCCATGGTTTTTATTAGGGAAATTGTCTTCAAATGGTGGGTATTTTCGACATCGAACTGAGTAATTCATGCCATGATCAGATGACAAACCTCAGCTTCAGGTTTTGCTTCCAAGGGTTTCACGCCCCATGCACGTCTCGAATCGGCTTCTGGTTGCCGATGCGGCTTGGATGACACTTGAGAGTGTCATGTGAGCCACTGACATCTGACTCACTGACATGACATAATATATATATATATATATGTATATATTATATTATATGATTTATAAATATTGTATCTATATATGTATGTATGTATGGATGGATGGATGCATGTATGGATGTATCTATGGATGTATCTATGGATGTATGTATGTATAGGTATGTATATTTATGTATATGTATGTAAATGTGTGTGTATGTGTATATGTATGTATTTGTATGTATATGTATGTAATATGTGTATGTATATGTATGTAAATGTATGTAAATGTATGTATATGTATGTATATGTATGTATATGTATATGTATGTGTATGTGTATGTGTATATGTATGTATGTGTATATGCATGCATGCATGCATGCATGTATGCATGCATGCATGCATGCATGTATGCATATATGCATGTATGCATGTATGCATGTATGCATGTATGTATGTATGTATGTATCTATCTATGTATCTATGTATGGGTAAATATATATATATATACCCATACATATTATAACTTGGGACAGAGCCTTTGCGGACGACATCCTCTGAGCGTGTCAGACTCCGATGTCACTGGCTCGATGGAAATGAAAACTGGGTGTGTCTGAAAATTGGGGATTGACGGATATTGATGGACATTGACGGATATTGACGGATATTGATCATATTCCATGGATTCCATGGGATTGTTCTGGTGAACCAAAATTTTCAGACAAAACCAATTCAAAAATGCGATGTGTCTTTGGCAACTTTACCATGAGGGCAATGCTGGCAACCAAAGAGATCCACCAACTTTGCACTGGCTTTACCAGTGGCAAACTTGGCGTGACAACGGTCGCCAGCACGGAAATGTCAAAAATCTCCTGAAACCTCAAAGTGGTTTCCACTTTTCATCTCCACTATATGTATTTTTACTTATATCCCCATTGTGTATCATTGATTATATCACATAAAATCCTATTAAATAATGGTTGATAGATCCTAATGAAGCTTCAGCGATGAAGTTGTGCGCAGCCGTGGCCGCTGAGGGCTACTCTGGCCTCACATTCCGGAAATGGTCAAAACACACCTTTCTGGTTACTGGTTTCAACCCTCCTGAAGTACTCAGTTGGATATCCCAAATAGGCTGGAAGATAAAACTTGTTTGAAACCACAAACAGGTTTTAATATGTTTTAATCTGGAAATGGAGGGATACATAGTGATCTGGAGGGGCACGATAAATCGAGGCCAAAAAAAAAAAACAGGGGATGTTTCTTAGAAGTGCCAATTCAAACTAGAAATGCTGGGTATTGATTCGCTTTCTAAGCATGGGGTATACTGATACTGGTAATACATATCCCAAAATTGTCTGACTAAAAACTGGAAACATGATGATAAACCATGATAAACCAAGATAACCATGTTCATCCAACTAAGAGGTATAGAACCCCCTAGAAATGGGAGGGCCATCTTGGCCCTCCTCAATGCCTGGCTTAGACTGGTTTAAGTGGAAAAGTTTACCGGAAACTCAGGTTTTGACAAACAACTAAAGGAACTTGCGGTCAATTTTACTAATCACTGGTTTAAGGGAAATTTTAAAACTACTCGGTACTCGTTTTAAACTACACCTACCAAATGTCCTTGGGAATCCTGCTGCGCATATATATATATATCTTGGATTTCCTTGACAGGCCCCAAAACAACACATATTCACAATGGATTCCCCAAATGGTGGATGTCCTATTGAGAAAACAAAACGTCACCTCAAACTAACCAAGGTCAGCTTTAAACTTTTATTACCCTCCGGTGTCATCAAACGTGGCTTGCTGGAAAGTACACCATTTAGTTCGATGGTTCTCCATGGTTCTCCCATTCAAACACCAAACGAAACATTGGAAACCTGGAAAATATGTGGGCAGCATCATTCTTTTAGCATCCTTGCTTATCCTGGTGGCACACTTTTTGGCATCGGGGGCTCGAGGATCTCCCAGCCAAGCTCGACCCATCTCAAGCACCAAAGTCCCGGACCTTGTAGCGGCAGAAAGCACCATGAGCCACACCAGCGCGGCACAGCCCAGTGTCCTTGGGAAAAGCAATAGTTTGAAAACTGGAAAGCCATGGCCCATAACATCCCATCACTAGTTCGATGATTTCCCGCTTCAAAATGGTGATTTCCAGTTCGCAAACTGTTCAATTACCAGAAGGATCCAATAATTTACAACAGAAAAGCGGAATTCATTGCATTCAACGGCTTTCCATGGGTTTCCTACTTTTCTTCATCTTTCCCTATGATCAGAACGTACGACGTCCACGTCTGAGTTCATGAAAATCTACGATGCCAAAGTCATCAGGGACCCAGCGTTCCGCGCGAAACTTGATGTGGGCATGCACTGCAGGTAGAACGACGCGTGCCAATTCAATGGGCTTCGAACATTCTGAATTGTCCATCCATTGCAATAATCGACATAATAATAAATAATAATAATATACAATAATCATCAATAATCCATGCTTCGATGGGCAACTCGCTTGCTGTGCGCTGGCAGTGTGGCATTTGGATCTTGTTGTGAAAATCCCAAGAGAACCGTTGCCCGCTGCTAGAGTCCATTTTAAATACAAGGGTTCAAGAGTTGGGTGGATGAGAGTTTCTATGCACACCACAAGCTGCAAGTGTTGTGATCCCAAGTTGATGTTGTGATGACCCAACCTGAGGAACCCGCATCTCTCCCAACTGTCTTGCTGCAGCATTGGCCCTGGCCATCAGGCTTTTCAAGAGACTTGCTTGAAGCTCCATTCCTTTGAACTCTAAACATGTTGGAACTCTCCAAACGCAGTGTCCATCTGAGGACAGCACCACGTACCACTTTCAAATTCATCTGTTGTGGTCGGCTGTTCATCTGTCGTCCTAGAGGGGCTGGTTTCAGGCGGGTTCAGGCTGTGGTTTGGTCCTTGGGGTAACCTGTTCCCATTTGAGGACGCTGCGCTGACCCTCCCGCAGTTGAGCTTGCTGGGGCGGAGCTTGTTTGTCCCAAGCCAGTCGTCCTCGGCAATGGCAATGCTTGAAGTCTTGTCGATTTTGAGTGCGCGAAAACCACCGCAACCTGAGGATACTACCTGCTTGTCTCCCCCATTGTGGTTGTCCTCAGGCTAATTTCTTGCCGGGTTTTATGGGCACGCTGGGCGAGGTGTACACGCAACGCGACACGTGACCCAGCGAATTCCGTGCTCGGTCCATTTTTAAGGCTTCCACGAGGATCCACTCAGTGTGGCGCTTGGACCAGCAGTGGTAGTTCCAGCGTTGGTTGTCCTGAAACAGGACATCACTACATATCACTACGATGTTTGTATATGATTGTCCATTAATATACACACAGTATCATTTATATTTATTAATTCATGGCGTTCAGAAAATCGTTCATACATTATGTACATAGATCATATAACATCCAACTGAATTCAACTTGTTCACATCTAATCTACCAATGTTTCACACTCTGAACGTTTCAGGATCACTGAGGGCCCCGCCCAGAATCATCTCCGCTTGTAGTCTGCCCATCAACGCTCGATGACCTCGGTGGGAGAATTGGCAGCGATATCCCTCTGCAAAAATGTATAAATATCTGGTTATACAAAACCTGAGACATTGGTTTCATCATGTTTCATTCCTGTGCTTGAATTTCTGAGGGATTTTCTCAACGCTTCCTATCTCTTCACTCAATCTTCACTCCAGATTTTCCGGATCGCAGGCCTCATCTATTCATCCCATCTAGATCCACCATTTCATCAGCCCCTGAGACTCAGCCCCTCACGTGCCATCGCTGCTGCTGCTGCTGCTGGTGGTGGTGGTGGTGGTGGTGGTGGTGGTCATCAGCTGCTCCACCACCTCCGCCGAGGCCCCGTCCACGGCCGAGAGGTTGCCGGTGACGCTCACGGAGAGGCTGCTTTCGCCCAGGGCACTGGACGCCTGGGCAAGGTATATAAAAACCATGGAAACAACGTGAAAAAACCATGCAACTTGTGTTTTTTTTTCCTCAAAAAAGGTGACTTCCAAAAAATCCCAAAAAAATGGAAAAATGGGGGTTTCAGGGCGTATATGTTTGTATGTTGCTTGTTATGATTTTGTGTTGGGGTTCAATGTTTCATCTTCGCCTTTGATGTTTTTTCAGGTGGGGTTTTGGGGGTAATTTTGTTGCTAAAGTGATGTGTCAATGTTTGGATTGAATGGGGGTAGGATTTGTTTAGGCTGTTGGGTTTTTTGTTTGTGTTTGGGTGGGTGATTACTTCATAATATGTGTTGTTAAGATATTATGAATTAATCATTTATGCTTTCCACTTTCCTATTCCATCCCACCAGTGTTCAATCACTCTCATTTGTGTTAAGCAGGGTTTGTTTGTATCATTCAGTTCATCCATCGCTATTGATAAAAGAGTTATGTTAATAATCATTGCGTTGAATTCACCATCACGGTTGAGTTCCTTTCCACAATCAATGATGACTTTTTTATCAGTCAGGTTTTCATACATCTTTTTCATAATGTCAAAATTTACAAACATATATATCGTCATATCCTTTACCCCTTCCCCGGATTTCATCCTATCAATTACTTTCTTCCAAAACTTTTCTCCTTCCTCATCATCTGGTGAAGGCATAGGATGGCACTTTACAAAGTCTCTAATCTCTTCATCTTCTTTTTCTATTTGTTTTCTTTCCCAATCATCGTCCTCACTATCACTACCAAAGTCAGCATATATACCAATATTCCCTGTATCTGTAACCTCAATTTTTGCTCTACTCATTTTCTCTTACTATATATAGATATTTTCTTTAAGTATTTATCACTTTTTGTAGGTGCTCTTTTATTTCTTCTATGTTCAAATATTTCTCATAACCGTTGAACAGTTCTTCAACATATTCACGCAAGAAAATTTGCAAAATGTCTTTTATCTTGAACTCCCTGTTTCTAAACATAAAAGTTCGTTCAACATTAGGAAACCACCAGCATCTTCGTTGCTTACTGTAATTGATGAAATTAAGGTCGTGAAAGTTCTTTAGAATATGATAAGTGTATTTCCAATGGTTTTTGACATAAGACTTAATCGCTTGAAGATATATCTGATCTTTTTGAAATTCTACCTTCAGTTTATAGGTGTCCATTAAAGCGTCTATTTCTCTCTTCATTACTCTTACATTTGTTCGGTCGGTGTTGGATAAATAGATGGGTGATTTTTCCATCCTTGTTTTAAAGAAATGTATTTGTTTTTCAACTCTTGTTAGTTCTTTCTCTTCAAAATGGTCAAAATGATAGTTGAATGTTATATATCTGCGTTCCTTATCATTCAACTCTTTACATTTTGAACAGTGAAGGTTGTAATCACATATCTCATCACAAATTCCAGCAGGAAAAATGTGGTTCAATAAAACCTTAATGTCAGTCATTTCTTTTTTACAACATCCACAGTTTTTATAGGTAAATAGCATCCTCTTACTATATATAGGTAATTTTTCTTTAAGTAGTTTTTGGGGGGCTCGTTCAGTTTTCGGGCTCGGGTTGGTTTTTATTTTCCCTTTCCTCCTCTTCCAGTTCTCTTATGACCATATCTATTTCACTCATTCCTTCGTTGGGGTCTTGTCCATTGGCGAGGTTTCTTAACCTCTCAAAATCCTTCACTTTATGTCTTCATTGGGTGGGAGGGTTTTGAGATGTTCCTTCAACTCTGTCAGGTCAAAGTATGTGTCTTCCTCCTCATCCTCATTTTCCAAAAACATTTCCATTCTTTGCTTTTCCATTTCCATAAGTTTGTTTTCCATATATTGGAATTTCATTTGCTTCTTGTAGCACTTGCCACACACATTCACGAAGGTTTTGAGCAAGTAGTTCCAATTAGGTTGGTTTCTATCGTTCAGGGTTATAACATCTGTCATTATACGACATCCACAGTCAAATTTAGTCATCTTATTTAGTCTTACTATATATAGGTATTTTTTCTTTATGTATATTTTTTATTGTTGATAATTTAAAAAATCTAATATTATAATATATGGCAAGGAGACTATCAAGAGATGACATCATAAGCAATGTCTATTATAATCTTGAAACGGGCTTCGGTTCAATCAATGAGACCCTTAAGAAAGCCAAGGAGCAAGACCAGACCATCAACAGGGTGGATGTGGAAAACTCTATGAGGAAACAGCCCAACAAACAGATTAGAAAATACAGGGGGTCAAACTCCTACACCGCACCCTTCGCAAGGCTTGAATATCAGATTGACATAATGGATATGAAACCCCTTACCAAAGAACCAGAGACGAAAATTCCCATCAAGAACGATGAACCGAGATATGGGTTGGTGGTCATTGACATCTTCAGCAAGTTGGCAAACGTCGTCCCCATGAAAGAAAAATCCGGACCAATCACATTGTCGGCGATGAAAGAGAGTTTCAACAAAATGGGTTTTCCAATGTCCGTTTATAGTGATAATGACCGTGCCTTCCAAGCAGGGGTAAAAGAGTTCTTTGAGAAAGAAGGCATCACTCACGTCGTCACCCTAACTCACGCCAATGTTGTGGAGCGTTTCATAAGGACAATGAAGAATATGATACACGACAGGGTGAGGTTTAATCGCGGTAGTTGGACTGTAATGTTGTCCAAAGCGTTAGACAAATACAACGACACCGTCCATTCATCCACCAAAATGAAACCCAAGGATGCCCACGACGACAAGAACCATATGGACGTCAGGGTGAATTTGACAAGGAGGGAAAAGAACACTCGCAAATATCCAGAGGTCAAAGTGAATGATATGGTCAAGGTCTTTGAGAAGAAAAAAGACAACTACACCGAGAGGAAGGAGTATAACTCAAAATGGAGCAATCAATCCTACAAAATTGTCAAGATAGAATACGATGATGTCGGAAACAGAACCTTCAAACTGGAAGGATTGAACAAACCGTATTTGAGGCACGAGATTTTGAAAGTATAAAAAATTATCTATAATATTAATATATGACAGAGGTAGTCGTAAAAGAGATTGATAATGAAGAACCCAAGGAAGAAACAATACCAGAACCAATACAGGAAGAAGCACGGCAAAGCCCTGCTTCCTATCGGGAAGCACCGAAAGAAGAGGAGAAACCAGAAGAAACAATTGAACCACCCGTTGAAAAGAAACCGCAACCAGCGCCAAAGCCCAAAAGGGTAAGACCGTCAAGGGCGAAACCACCTTTTGACCCAGAAGCATTCAAAAACGACCTTGTAAAGCAACTGAAGGAAGAACTACAGAGTGCAATGACCGCCAGAGACACCTACAACAAAGCCAAAGAGGAAAAGAACAAAGCGACTAGAGAGAAATTGAAATCTTTAGCATCAAAAATTTTATAAAGTATTATATATAAAAATGAACATCAAGGAACAGAAAACGGAACTCAACAAAACTGACATCTACGAAAACGTCCGCAAGGACATCAACAGAAGACAAACCGTCCATTCAAACAAAAGTGCCAACTACAGGAGCGGAACGCCCGAAATGCCAGACAGAAGAAAAAAGTGTATAGTAGTTATGACCACTACTACCACAACGACAGCAACACGGCAAGGATGCCAACTCACAACCATCATCTTTACCTAAAGCGTCTTCTTGAATATCACAACACCGAGCACGACTACAAGGTCTTACAAGTAAAGCAGAGGGTGAAGGAAGAGAATGAGATGCTACAGAACGAAATGACAAGGTTGAGGGAGGTGAGGAAAAATCACAGATTGGAAGATTACGGGGCGAACGTCCAGAATATGAAACAGAGAATTGATGAGTATAAGCAGTGGTTGAGAGGCGATACACAAGATTAATATAAAAATCTAGAGTATTAATATATAGCAATGACAGCAGAAGTAATCAACGCAAAACAGGGATTGACACGAATACCCACTTACGCAGAACTCATCAAGGAAATAGACAGGGAAAAGTTCAAAACCAATGACATCAGAAAAATCTTTGATAGGAACGCTTGGTATTTTCACGAAAGTCCGCAGGGTCAAGCACTGAACACAAACAACATCCACCCAGCAGACTTACAGCAAATGAACTTCAACAAGATGGCAGAGGAAGCGACCGCAAGGAAGGAAGAAGAAACACCCAACCTTGACTTTGAAGATATGACCAACTTGAGGGACGACGCCATCAGCGACTTTGAGATGTCCTTTGACAGAGAGGCAGAGTTGAGGGAAGAGAACGAAAGGAGAGTAGCAGAACAGGCAAACTTAAGTCATTCTCAAGACCACTATATGGCAAACAAAGGAACATACGACGCCGTTGGAGCAACAGCATCGGCAGGGATACAAGAAGACGCAGAACCACCTTCAAGCAGTAGAAGCATCTTAAAGAAATTCCTTAAATCATCCAAACCAGTCATCAAAGCAGTCGCCACAGCAGGAGGAGCAGCAAAGGGAGGGTCAGTAGGAGGAATAGCATCAAAACTGACAGACGCCATCATACCCGATGAGGACGAGAATGAGAAACCACCAAAGATGAAACCAACGAAGAAGACCATAAAAGACCAAGTCAATAAAATCATCAAACCCAAAAAACTCAAAGACCCATCAACCAAAATGAATGTAGATGTAGCGAGAGAAGAAGACAAAGCACCGATGGATACATCAAGCAAGTTGGTAGAGAAAAGGAGACCGACGGGAAACAGGACGTCAGCATTCAAGAGACAGAAACAAAAACCGCCAACGCAGGATAAGAGAGAGTTTCAGGAAGACCCATCCACAACCACTAAACCGCCCAAAGCAAGACGAGTAAGAGGAAAGCAACCACAACCACAAGCATTAGGAGCAACCATCAACATCCCCAAAGACAACAAGACACCCAACGTAGATGAAGCAGAGACAGCACAGGAAGAAACAGGGGCGTCATCTTCATCAAAAGCACCAGTCAGGAAACCAACATTGAACAAAGCAATATCAC